CATATGGCTTAGTCACATGAATTAGGGCTTAGTCACATGAATTAGTCAAAGTTGTTAGTCACCTGCCCTATTCACATGTCACCTGGCTTAGTCAAATAGATTGTATACTGACTTAATACTATCTGACTCTAGGCTTTACATAACCTGACTTTAATATACCTAGATTAAATGACTTTATTTGGCTTAAAGATACCTGGCTTCGTTTTACCTGGCTTTAGTCGTCTAGTTTTGTTTCCCAGTTTGATATTGCCTGGGTTTAGATACCCGGATTTATCACCCGGCTTTGTCGAGTAGCTTTAAGTTACCCGGCTTTATTAACCCCGGCTTTTTTACATAGCTTTAAGTTACCCGGCTTTGTCAAGTAGCTTTAAGTTACCCGGCTTTGTCAAGTAGCTTTAAGTTACCCGGCTTTGTTATGTAGCTTTAAGTTACCCGGCTTTGTTATGTAGCTTTAAGTTACCCGGCTTTGTTATGTAGCTTTAAGTCACCAGGCTTTGTTACGTAGATTTAAGTCACCCGGTTTTGTCAAGTAGCGTAAACTCACCCGGCTTTGTCATGTAGCGTCGTCACCCGGCTTTGTCAAGTAGCTATAGGTCATCCGGCTTTGTTGCGTAGCTTTAAGTCACCCGGTTTTGTCAAGTAGCGTCAAGACACCCGGCTTTTTCAAGTAGCGTCGTCACCCTGCTTTGTCAAGTAGCGTCAAGTCACCCGGCTTTGTCAAGTAGCCATAGGTCACTCGGCTTTCTTACGTAGTTTTAAGCCACCTGGCTTTGTCAAGTAGCTAGAGGTCACCCGGCTTTTTACATAGCTTTAAGTCACCCGGCTTTGTTAAGTAGGTTTAAGTCACCCGGCTTTAAGTAGATTTGTCACCCTGCTTTGTCAAGTAGCTATGTCATCCAGCTTTAAATCACCCGGCTTTATTAAGTAGCTATAGGTCACCCAGCTTTGTTACGTAGCTTTAAGTCACACGGCTTTGTCAAGTAGCTGTAGGAAATTATGTAGATGCCAGTGACGATTTTTTTTTAAATATCAATCAAATTTTGCTGTATAGGTTCCTTGCCGCAGTTAATTTCACAACTATTTCGGCTAATGCAAGTCGATATTTTTATTTTATCATTACCACTTTTATTAACATTTCGCTTCTTAAATATATATATATATATATATATATATATATATATATATATATATATATATATATATATATATATATATATATATAAAATACAAAATCATAAAAAAACAATAGGGTAGTTAAGCTTCAGGTGAAATAAGCTGGGGTGGAGAAATGTGATACGTATTATCTACGAAGGCTTTACAATTCGCGCTTTCTCTCTCTCTATCTCACTCTGGTTAATGCCCCAGATATGATATATAACTCAATGATTATTTTGGGTGAAGTTGTTTTCGTCGTGTTGAAGGTCAGGTCTAAATCTGTTTTTTATTACTTGTACATTTATAAATTGCCCGTTAGTTACCTCGGATAACAAGGCGCTAAAGAAAGTTCCAATACTTTTTTTAATAATTCGCTAACAAGTAATTTGTGACGGAAATGGCACATAAGAAACATGATTCATATGGTTGATTTCCACCTATAGCAACTACTAATTTTTCGATAGAGTTTGAGAGTGCACTTGTAAAATAAAACTCAAAATATAGAAACAAAAATAGGTTGTAGAAGATAGTAAGTAATGATAAATAACACGCATGACAATTCAATGGCAGTTCGACCCTTAATTTATAAACTGTCGTATCAACATTTTCTTCTCAATCCGCCACACCGCCGTATTATTGAGAAGTTAACAAACAAATATGACACTACTACAAATTAGTATTTTTTTTTACGGGGATTAGCCCACCCGGGCACAGGTCACTGGCTCACATCGGGGCCTGGGGGGCGAAAATGTAGTAATAATAATAATAGTAATAATTATAATAACAAAAATGAAAAAAAAAAGATAAAAAGTGAGAAACAATATATGTATGTTGTGTTGTCAATGGTAAGAGAAACAACCGAGACCCTGCAATTGTGTTCCATTGTTGTTACAATGTTAGGAAGGTAAACCTGAGATCCCCCCCCCCTCTAACACAGATTCTTATAGAGGCGAAAATTACCATTTTCAGATGACTTACCTGATTATTCATCCACTAAAGACAGAAGACATAAGTTATCTGATGTATGAGCCATATATAACACTTCACAGATTAAAGATATACAACATATATGATGATAAGTTGGGAGAGGTGTCCTCGTAGCCACACTCACTCAGGTTTCAGCTCAAATGATGACGCGGCTGGAGCCAAATTCGCCGATTGTCTTTTTTTTCTTAGCGATAAAAAAAAAAAATAATGTCTACCATAAAATATTTAAATATTATTTTTAACCTCTGACAGGTAAATAAAGTATTGGTTTTGTAAGATGGTAAATATTTATTTCAGATATCTATCGTTTTAGAATATCTACTAGTTTCAGAATACTGTAAGCATAACTATTAGACAATAATAGTAATAACAATACTATATAGTATACTACTAATAATATTAGTAATACTACTACTGTCCTACTACTACTAATAATATTAGAGTACTGTATGTTAATTCAAACCAAGCACAGTACTGTACTGTACACAGCCCAGAAACCGGTTAAGAATAAAAAATTTCTGGTGTTCACAGCAGCAAGTCACATGAAGTATTTCTTAACCACTTTAGTTCCAACATTTCAATTAGCATCATTGCTGAAATTCTTGCTGGAGAATATTTCATGCTAGTTCAACAATCACATGTCTAGTAGCTGTCACTTGAACTACAGGTATAATACAACAATTACACTATTTAAGCAAGACATTTCAAATGGTGAAACAAAATACTTCGAGGGTCATGTTTGATGGTGTCTACTCAAGGAATTACTGTACAGTATTCACTAAAGTGATATTTAAAAACCTGGAATCGTGGAACGGGCAATAAAATGAATAAATTGGATAAAACTCACCTTAAATAAAAACTTATCCGTACTGGTGTAGAATACTGTATTAGCATTTTAATTTTATATAAATGTTACTACTGAAAAATACAGTACAGGGGTAAGCTTTAAATTATAAAATAATGTATTATATAATAACAGTACAGGTACAGTAGTTAAGTTTCTCAGCTTCACATAGGTAGTGATAAAATATACTGTGGTGCTCGACCATTCCTTAAAGCCTAGGCTATTTACACCTCAACCAAATTTCATAATTGTGGAAATGCATGAGGAACACATACAAAAAATGCAATTTATATTATACCTGCACAGTATAAATATTTCTGCATCTTTCAGTCTTCTGCCAAGGGTTGCTTTTATTTGTACTCTCCTTACTTTTTAATTACTTTATTCTCTTTTGTCACCTGGTAAGTGCTGGACATGTACAAGCCCTAAATTGTATCTGAACATGCCACAGTGTTTGTCCAGTCTGAACTTTTAAAAGAACTTATTATAAGACAGAAAACTAAATATTGTACTGTACATTACTATATATAATCCTCTGCACACACTGGCAGAGTATGTATCATATGACCTGAAATCTTCAAGTTACAGTATTTTTCACAGGTACTCTATTTCTCCATAATACTGTATGAAATTATATGCCACATAAGCCCATACAGTATCTGTAAGCATCTAAATGGATGTCATCTAATTTTTCCTTTGCAAATACTGCACTACTAAAGCACTAATAAAATTATTCCACCATAATTGTGGTAAGACAAAGAATAATTTCACTGGTTTCCAGCAGACACTAAAGTGCCACTGCTCATGGTTGCTTAACAAACAAAAGCAGAGTGGAGAATGGTTTACGAGAACGTACAGTAAGTACTGCTAATAGGGTAATGCTCGGCTGTGAAACAACTGGAGTAAATCAAATGAATCATAAGGCATTCTCGTGGAAGGGGAACACTACAGTGGTCCCTCGGTTAACGAGCACAATTCGTTCCAGAAGGTTGCTCGTTAACCAAAAAATTCGTTAACCGAAACCATTGTTTCAATGGGTTTTTGGGTAATTGGTTCCAGTTCACCGAAAATTACATACAAACTAAAAATAAATGCAGTAAAGTACACTTACTTTGAGGTGTGCATATAGAAGGCTCCTGGTTGATGATGATGGGAATTAGAATGGGGGTGGAGGAGAAGGGAGAAGAGAAGGCATTGGGGTGGAAGAGAAGTCACCCCATGCCGTCATTTCACCCATAAAATTTTAGTTCACTTGGTGTAATTCAAGATTATTTTCTTTAAATCAACACTGCACTACATTATATATATATATATATATATATATATATATATATATATATATATATATATATATATATATATATATATATATATATATATATATATATATATATATATATATATATATATATATATATTGTTATTATGTAGAATATATTTCAAAATGACCAATAATTTGACTGGAAACACAGAAAAAAAGCATTTATGTTGAAGTCTCAAACAAGATGTTCCTTCCTCTGAACTGGTAAACAAACTGACGCCAAGCTTGGTGTGTTGAGTGGCTGTTTGGCGCGCAAAAAACTAGCTTCCTGTACTTCAATTATGCTCAATAATTGTTAAAATGACTAAAAAATTTAATATAAAACATTTTAAATTATTGAATAGTATAACCTTCTTGATATTTACTAAAATGGTAAGGAATTTAAGCCCTAAAACGATTACTGTATTGGTGGACTAATACTACAGCTGGTGGGCAGCCAAATGCAGTTGAAAACATGTTGGGAAAAATTCATAAGGAATTCGTTAACCGAGGGTTTGCTCGTTAACCGAATTGAAGAATCTTATAGAAGGCAATTCGTTAACCGAAATTTCGTTAACCGAGGGATCAATGTATATCAAAATAGAAAAGACATTTATTACAGCAAAAAGGAACAATGACAGTGAACGCAGGGAGAATCTGCATTTGTTTGATTCTGGCAACCCCTACATCACTAATAGGTTAATGGTTCAGGAGTGACGTACACAATTTATTTACATTTCTAATATGTAGTTATGTTACACTGAAATAATTTGCTTAAAACATTTTACTAATGATAAACACTCAAAAGTTTTCTTGATATTAGCTTGATCAGAAACACCATCAATATTCTACAGTATTCCAACCCATAAAATTTGTAGCACGGAACTGGGCTTAACATAAGACAGTACAACAGACATACTCTCAGGATGTGATTGTGGATCAACTGGGCCACAATCCTAGTAAGCTCCACCCAAACTTAATGTAACCATTGATATTTATGACCCATCTTCTTTAATGTTCTGACATGATGAACTAAGATAAAAAAGAATGGTATAACTTGTCCAACCCTTCAACAAAATTTCAATTCTGTGGTCACACTTGGCACATGTTTTAGTCACTCTTGGCAAGACACAAGATTAGCATAACTTTATCTCCAAGTACAGCAAATCTTCCTAGAAGCTCTGGTCAGTCAGTACTAGTCTGAGTCATCATACCTGGTGCATTGTAAAGTCACTGTGATATCATCTCCATCTGCATCGGAGTGAACGATGCTCAGTGGTGCACCTCCAGCTATGATGTGGCCCAATTTCTCATAATAATCTGCAGATAACTCTGCATGTGCTTCAATCTCAAGGGAGGTGTGCATGATTCTAATTCGGGCATCCAATACAGCAAGAGAGATAAGCTTCTGCATGTCACCAGCCTGCTCATAAAGATCAGTGTGGGAGAAGGCAATGGACAGGGGTTTCTGCCAGGGGAAGGACTCAAATATCTGACGTAGAGGCCCACGCATCATGGACGTCAAGCAGTTAAAATAAAGACGGAGCTGAGTATTCACAGGAATCTTTGTATTAGCGATACCTTCTGCAAGGTTTACAATATTCTGAAAGTCATTCACTATCAAATCCAATCTTAGTTGACAATCTCTTTCTTGAAGGTAGTATAGCAACTGTGTAAAGCTACTCAACTCAACAAAATTGCTGCCACAAACAATTACCATTATATAGTCTAGAGACTCTTGTTGAAATAGGCAATGGTATAAATCCAAACATTGAGGGATGAAACACCGAATTTTTGTAAAAACCGACAGCCTCCCCAAGGTGGTCAAGAGAGGTGTTAACACGTCGGGAAATGGGTCGTTAAAGTCAAAGAACAAATCAAGTGACTTGGGTGTAAATCTTGTTTTCTGCATAAGATACTTAATAGCTGAAAGATCTTGAGATATTCTTGTAAACATTCCATATAATCTGATTGCTCTATGTTTCTCAAGGTAAGGCAGTACTAAATGGCTTATGACTTCACTTTCTGCACAATCTTTTATAAAGTTTGACCAAAAAACCCACCTGTTATATATATAATTCTGATTAATGTTTTCCATAATTGATTCTATTTTCTTTTTATCAGGTTCTTTTTTAGAAACCTCAATAGCAACTAAGAATCGAAGTGTTTGGTTCATTGTCTTTGCATTGTCAAAAGTTTCGTTAAGGCCTGAAACATATATATTTTCATAGATTTTATCATCTTCTGACCCTGCAGACCTTGACATTGACCTGGATCTATCATCCTCTGACCCTGACCTGGATCTATCATCCTCTGACCCTGACCTGGATCTATCATCATTTGCCTCTGCAGACCTTGACATTGACCTGCATCTATTATCCTCTGACCCTGCAGACCTAAACCTGGATCTATCATCACTTGCACCTCTTATTAGATCATCATAGGAAATTTCCTCAGTTGATGAATTCAGTGCAGCATCAAACATAAAGTCAACTTCCCTACTATCTTCAAATCTGTATTCATCTTCATTTGACTCGTCCAAACAGAGTGAACGACAACAATCAAACTGACAAAGAGACTTACGGCTACGACGAATAGGACGGCGAGGAAGACAAGGAGGACGAGGAGGAAAATGAAGAGTTGGAGAAGCAAGATGAGGAGGAGGAGGAGGAGGAAAATGAAGAGTTGGAGAAGCAAGATGAGGAGGAGGAGGAGGAGGAAGAGAAGACTTGAAAAAAGGATGAGTAATAGAACTAGAGCCCAAAAGCAGGTTCTGATTCCCTTTACTAATTGATCTTGGAAACATTGCCCTATTAACAGCTTTTTTAAATTTCTTTGGCTCTTTCATAATTTCATCTAAAGCGCTATTCTTTTTAACCTCACTAAGGTGGAGAGCAGAGAGATACTCTTGATAAGCTCTGTGAGGAAACTCCCATGTGTATTGAGTTCCAAATTGAATTTCATGTGTTGTGCACTTCAAGAAGGAGGACATAGCATCGATGGGGTCTATATTGAAGTGTTGAGCCTCCTGTAAAAGGTATGAAGTCCAACTTTCATCATAGAGGATTTGAGTATTGCATAAAAGAGACTCCCATGCAACTTTAGCCAGACAGAGAAGCCATTGCTGACAAGCCTGTTCTACCAGCATTATGTGTCTCATTTCTTCAGCTTTTTGTAGCAAGCGCTGGGCAAGACGCTTGATGCTCAGATTGACTGACTGCCTTAGAATGTAAGTGACTGTAACAGCCCCTGTAAAAGAGGTACTGTCCTGCAGCCACAGCAGTGTTAGTAACATCACTGTTAGTGGTAAGTTTAAAAAGTGGTATATCTCTTGATCCAATAATTTTAAGTGATCTGTTAACTTCTGGATCATATTTTCACGTTTATGGGCGTTACCCTCCAACACAGTCAACAGTTTTTCAATATATTCTATTTGCTGAGTCTCATTGAAACCTTTCACATAGAAAACATTTAAACTGTTGCTACTGGGTGAAATCAAGCATTTAGCTTCTTCAGTGAATTCTGGCCTGCATGTTACAACTACCCGACTAGCAGGGAACTTTGTACTAATTGCCCGTACTAAGGATCTTGCATGCTTCCCAGCTTCATCTAACCCATCTATGATGAATATAACATGACATTCCCTTAGGGTAGGAATGATATCTTCATATTTTAACTCCTTGCATGTTTCTTTCAGTATTTCTTCACCAAGGAACTCAGTCAGAGAACTGGAGGTCACTGAGTGGCATTGAATAAAAATCATGATATCAGTGTTCTTAATGGCCATCAAATTACTGTTCTTGGAAGCCCAACAGTTAAGTATGTATTTGCAGATATGGCTCTTCCCCACACCAGCAACACCTTCAAGAACTATCAACTTTGGGAGGGAACCATTAGGCAACTCATAATCCAAGATCTGCAGAACTGGCACTACACAGTTATTCTTAGTTAATATTGTAATGTTTGTGAAAACTTCTTCCAGCTGTGGGCTGTGAGAGCCAAAACCAAAGTGCAGCCATATGCGGTCCTCCTGCCATAACCTTTGATAAATCTGGTGAAGCTCAGTTTGGGATTTTATAATCACTTTGTTGACAAGGTCATGAAGAAATTCTTTTAGTTCCCTTTGATAACTTTGAAGAGAATATTTTGGCTTACATTTGTAAGTATCATCAATTGCTGCCTTCATTTCAATAATGTACTGTGCATAATCCCCTCCAGTAATTAATTCTGTCTTTTCAAGGACTTTTTCTAACAATACTTTTAACTTCTCTGACCTTGTTTTCAGTTCAACATCACTTAAGGCAACCACCTCATGGGCCAGGAAATTTCTTTCTCCTTTGATAGTAAAAAGGATATATTCCAGTCCATCTCTGTCCTTAGGCTTTGGATTAGACCATCTATCATCAGAAGGAGACGCTAGACCACACACTCGCTGTAACAACTTGTACAGATAGGTTATATCCAGCTGCTCCCACTCTATGCCAGCCTCAATAGCATCTCTTTCGTGAGTGGCAAAGGCCTTGCGGTACTGTGCATTGGAGAAGCCTAAATCATTTGTGTAGTACTCCTTCACGCTCTGCTGCCCACCGCCATACAACTCTCGACACACCTAGTCCAAAAAGAGATCATTCTAGAATTAAAAATAAAGCTTATATTTAATATACATCATATTGCTAATAGACTTACCATACATTACCTAAAGTTATATGATAATATATAATAATTCCAACTGCTAAAATATATATAATTTACTAGTAATAAATAAAAAATATTTTAGTACAGTACTGTAATGTATATTAGATTGCCATAAACATTTACTGTTAATTCTAAACTTTGTTTAACTATTTTGTAAATCTATAACAGAAATTTTACAGTAAAGTACAGTACAGTTCAGTACAGTATACAGTACTAGAACCCTAAAATTTCATAAATCTGGCTGCTACAACTCAAGGTTCAAAATAAAATGTTTTAAAATAGTATTTCAAATCTATTTTTATACTATACATACTGTATTCATTATCATAATCATCATCAATAATTTATGGCAATTTTCCATGCCTGCATGTTCACCTGATAACAGCTGTCTGGTTGCCATCAGATATGTTGAAGCAAAGTTTACAGCTATCCAGCATGCCCTTCCTATTGCCAACCCACAGCAAGGGAAGAGCTTGAGAAGTTGACTGCCAGGGTCACTACTGTAATACCTGAGGTAATCAAAGACTGCCAAAGACTACCTTCCTACCTATAGGTGGGTATTATTGTAGCTGTAATCAAAATCCTTTAAAATAATATTTTCAAATTATTACCATACTGTACTTCATACTCTTGTAGGTAAAAACAGATGTTCACAATTCTAATACAGTGCAACACCTAACCGGACCTGCACTACCAATAGCAACATATCTATGTACTGTACAGTGCAGTACTGTATAAGTAAACCCTTGATGACTCAGAATTTAATAACTAATAATTTGATACAACTCAGAACAACAGTAAAATTTCAACAGTAAATTATTTTTTATTTATTTTTTACATAACTCACAATATTCTAAGATACGATAATGAAATCTTGAAATGGTGTAACATGTGTGACCCATGCGGGATGCATGGGAGACTGCTCGGTCAGCCGCTCATTTACATGTCGGTAGGCCTAGTGAGAGGATTTAGTGGAAAATGTAACCAGTATACATGTACAGTAGTGTTTAAGTGGATAATAACATTTAAAGTCGGTGCTGTAGGTGTTTACAATACAGAATTGTATGACCAGAGTGGGCAAAACGCCAGAAAAAAAGGAGACCTCAGGTGCGTTACTCTCTCAGATCTACAGCCTGCCACCCTTGACGCCAGCCCCACACACGTACTGTAGTGACGCATGTGTAGATTTACTTAATGGCAATATCGATCATGTTGCCGCTTCCATTCTGAATAACAAAGTCTTTCTCGGGATACAGAGATGGTTTCCCTATCCTTTTGTGAATAAATTTCGATTCTGACCATAGTGGTGCTTTGTCCACTCTGTTCTTACGTGCTTCATATACTGTATGTAGTGCAGAGAGCCTCCCTTCACCTTGGACACCTACCACATGGTACCACAAGCTTGAATTATCCTCATACTTTGCCTGCAGTGCTGGTAAAGGTTATTTTTTGTGCAAGTTTTTTTATTATGGCAAGTTATTTGGGATGAAAGACCGGGTGGAAAGTGCCTGATACGGAATGTTTAGAGCTCTGAGGAATATATTGAGAGCGAGAGCTGTATTAAATGAGGCAAAATTGGAGATTTATGGGGGAACTATTGAGGCACAGATGTAAGAAGCAGCAGTAAATGAGAAACGATAAGGGGTAATCTTTGATCATCTTGGGGAGTACTGATCCAAGCATTGAAAGCTATGAGGATATGCTTCCAAGTCCTACAGTGGGTTGCCAGTAGGAAGGGCATACAACCATAATCCTTACATCATGCTACATTATTAATATCAATTGAAATTAATACCTATTTTATAATACAGTACCTGTAAATATATATCTCTGAGAAGAAAAGTATTTTGCGTGTTTACCTTTGCCAGAACAGTAGCAGTAGGTCCTGTCCTTCGTAGCATGACAAAGTACTTGAGTACATTTTCATCCTGCGTTGTTAGAGGAACACCATCCATCTGAGAAGAGGAAACCCAACCACCTGGAACACTGCTGGCTGTCTGTTGAGTCCCACCACCTGTAGCAATGATCACTGTCTGTTGGGTCCCATCACCTGTAGCACTGCTCACTGTCTCTTGAGTCTCACCACCTGTAGCACTGCTCACTGTCTCTTGAGTCTCATCACCTGTAGCACTGCTCACTGTCTCTTGGGTCCCATCACCTGTAGCACTGCTCACTATCTGTTGAGTCTCACCACCTGTAGTAATGATCACTGTCTGTTGGGTCCCATCACCTGTAGCACTGCTCACTGTCTGTTGGGTCCCATCACCTGTAGCACTGCTCACTGTCTGTTGGGTCCCATCACCTATAGCACTGCTCACTGTCTGTTGGGTCCCATCTGCTGTAGATACCCGAGAGAGGAGGCCTGAATAGTGAACAGTTGTGGGGGACTGAACAACAGGTGTAGCATCTGTACAGGGTTGTACATTGTAAGTTTGTGATGATGTGACTTGACTCATCAAGTTCCCCATTGTGCTGTGATCCTCCACATATATCAGAATCATGAACAAACAGATGGATTGTATCCTTGAAGTGCAACCCTGGGTGCATATTGTGATCCATCACTCTGCAGTTTTCTACATAGTACTGTACTTTACTTCGGCTCAAGTCTCAATGTTTCCTGCAGTCTTTTACATGTAGTATTACCCTTCAGATATGGTGTAAAGCTTCTCACATAAAGTGGTCAATTTTCTCATACATTACATTACTTCAAATGTAGAGTAAATCTGACATAAATTTGTCAATATTCAGTAAATTCAACACGTTACACCTGCCTTTTTATAATTACCATTATATACATTATAAAAAATATTTACCCCTTATTTTGTATACCTGTACTGTATGCTATTAAGGCTCTCAATATAATTAAAAATAATGTATAAAAACTCAATTCAAGAATTACTAAAAGGTTGAAGATAAACCAGTAAGTGCCACATGAGATAACTAAAAGCTTCTTGATAAGGCAACTTCAGAGATAATTGACAAACAAACACACACCAAGTCATAAGTTCACTGTAGGAAAAGCTCTTACTGTGTTTCACAAGCCCCCAAATGGTCACTTATCCACGATGGACCCGTAAGTAACTAATTCATTTCGTAAGCCTCAACTGTTGTCACTCTATAATCATATCAATGATGACCAACAGAGACTAACAATGGTCCCTTGAGTTACCAAGAGTTATACAGTACTTGTTTCCCATAATTATCTGAACTGATACTTCTCCATGATCATATTTAGATAATATAAGCTTGTGGTAACTTCTAACAAGTCAGTCGCAGGAGTGGGTGACCTTGTTATGGTTGGTACTGTATTGGCAATGCATTTTCTGAGACTATCATCAACAGCATCATCCAATCACCTGCAAGCGGTAAAACACTATTAATTTTTATAAAACATGCACAACATTTTACAGAGCCCATTATTGACCCTATGGGTTCCCCTCTGAGCTAAATAAAATTGTCTGATGTTAGCCAAATAAAATACCAAAAGTGGCATCCCAGTAGTGAAGGGGTTAAGTTTTACAATATCCCCTGTACTGGTAAAAGTTACAGATAATGGAATATCTTTACACAATAATTTTGATCAGACAAACTAAAGTTCATAAAAAGCAAAATGACCAGAAATGAAAATGAATTCTCCAATAATGTAGCAACCAGAATAACATGAACATTTGGTTACCTTTATAGTTTTAAAACTTAAGGAACCGTGATGTACATTAGCCAGTTTTTAGATATAGAATACAGTAATGTATTCCACCTTTTCCACTGTTCTCGTCCCCTTTGTGTCTGAAATTTTTCTTAGGCTATAAAGCATCATATTCTCTACTCTGCAAATGATCAAATACAGTATCTAAATTAGCACCCCACCATCCCATACAAAATCCATAATTGAAAATACAACAAACTTACCAGTGCTCTCTTAAGTGACTATCATCCACTGCATCACACACACTAATACCTACAATAATGTATGATCAGCGGGCACACTCTTATCTTATCTTATCTTGTCTTGTTTGTGGCTTTATATTTAATCACTATATACCCTTCAATGGGTCCATTTTTGCTTGCATAATCATTTTAGTATATTTTGGTGAATATAGCAAAATCCCATTCTAATGAAATACTGTACTGTACCTTTTCTCTTGGGAGAAAAAAATATATATATTTTTTAATTAAATACCTGTACAGTACAGTACAGTACAGTATCTGTATTTGAATTTTATGCCAATCGTCTATTGTGTTTAAACCTGAGCTTTGTCACACCACTGTACTGTTCTGTACTCCAGTCACTGACAAAAATTTACCTCTGTTACCCATAATATCCAAAAAACAATCAACGGATGCCTTATCATCAACCAGTAAATAATTTTCTATTCACAAGAAGAAAGTTACAATTGCAATGAACAGGGAACTACAGTAGAAATAGTGTAACAACTGGATGCAGGTGAGACAGTAAACAAACTCATGAGTCATAATTTGATGGTCAATATGTAGCAGACATTGACATTTAGCAGACTAATACTGTATAAACAAAGAAACTGAGGTGGAAAAATGCAACACAGTTACTAGTTATTTCAGCCGCTACCACCACACTGCCTTAAGCTGCGGTCAGAGAGCTTGTATTATTAATTCTCCAGAAATTTGACCAAGTTTATAGAGCAATTTTATTGTACCATCATGATTGTCAACTCTTGATGATTTCGAGCAAGATTCCCAGATCAAAACAAGGCTGTCGGCTATTGCTATATTTAATGACAAGAAGCTTATTTATCAAGTACAGTACAGAATTTAAATATACCATAGTACATATATAACACAGGTTTATAACATTATTATGTATTAAATGCACTAACAACTTTTTTTAACACATAATGAGTTTATAATTTGGGTACTAATGTAACGTGTCTATTTACAAAACACACACAGGTGCAACCGTTCAGTCCAGACACATGCAACCCTCCCTACAGCAGCTTTCATAGTCCAACAAGATGAGAAAAGCAGCTCCGTCTTTCATCTACTCACACGCCAGCATTTGGTTTTTGTTTTCTTGCCGTAGAAGCTGGAGCAAGAACCACCAGTGTGACCATATTTTGAAGAAATTGATCGTATTTTCTTGCTCCAAATTAATTTATCATAAAAGCAATCATGTGACAATGCCTTTACATATGTACACTTATTGTTTGCAAGTCCAACTTTACTCTTGTAGATACCAAACATTTTGTAAATAATGAAACAATAATGGATGTTTAGTACTGTACTACTGTACTGTATTATTACTGTATTGTAGAAATTTAATTAATGTTCTGTACTGTTCACTTTGTTTCAAACCTCATCCAGTTTCTTATAAGTACCGTACTGTACAGTTATAAAATTATTACAGTACAGTACAGTACTGCTTGTATGTCACATACTGTACAGGGTTTATTGTTGGCTTATAATCATTGTGTACATCAAACTTTTTCATTACAAAAGATTTGTTGCATTTATGATGTTTGGGTGAAGCTTCTTTTTTTTTCAGGTGTCCATGGTAAAATGTGCTTTGATTTGACAAAAGAATTGATTAACAAAAGTTTTTCAAGAACAGACCTCTCTGTAAATTAGGGAACACCTGTACTGTACAGTACTGTGTGTGTTGGTGGCTCAGTAGTAGAGCGTATACTGTACCCCTCACTAATGTGTCCTGGGTTCAATTTATGGCTCAGAACAGTTGTAAGAAGGGTGTTAGCCAGTGTGACCTTACCAAACTTGGCCAGTTTTTTCTAGGTGGTCCAGTTTACTCCTGTACTAACCCTGGACACAAAGGTCATAACAAAATAACAAAGAACAAACCAACTGTCTGAGCTGCAAATAAGCTGATGAGTGGTGAAATGATAAATAAATTCATTCACCTCAAGACTTCATTTCTTATGGTGCAATAATCAGTTGACACCACCATTTTTGTTTACTCAAGTAACCTCTATCTTTCAGTTGTGTGTGAAATATCTGTCCCTAAATTATCATAATATTACACCTAAGACTGCATGAAATCATTTTGTCAACACTAATTACTGAAAGGGATAATGATATCTCTATTTGATCCTTTCATCTTGTAAATTGACAATTTATATTATACTGGACTCATTGCCAATTAACATAAACTGCAGTTTCCCAAGAATCTAATGAGCCCGGGATAATGACAAAACAGTAAAGCAACAGGATCCTGAGAACACACAGATACCAATATCTCTCACTAATAAACTATTGACCATCCTAGGACATTCTGGCATAAGCTTCTTCCACACAGCTATGACACAGTACCTCATAGAAGACGTCAACAGACAGGGGAGATGAAGATTAGTATGATAGGTGAGAACTTTGGCTGCAAGTCACCAGCAACCGAGCATCTACACTATACAGTAATCACAGCTCACGAACCATGGAAATGCCACCGTGTTATCACCTACTTCCTCTCCTCTAACACTCACTCAAGGCCAGTGATACCATATCAAACCTAGGACTCGCCCTATTGCTTATTCTCTCTCACTCTTATTTTCATTATTTCATTCTCTTTTTTTTCTCTAATTCTTTTTCCATTATTCAATTTCTTTCTCTCTCTCTAATTGTTTCTGTATTGCTCAATTTCTCTCTCTCTCTGTGCAGTATGCTTATATACAGTACTACAGGTCTACAACAAACAAAACAGTAGAGTTAGCTAATTAGTAATAAATTTATAGTCGAACCTTATCCGATGTCAGTTTCTCAAACATGAATTAGACTATACTACACACTGTAACAAATACAACACCTATTTACCAAATGCAGAAAAACTAATAATTACCTACCATGCCACCACTCGCTGGGACCCACATTGTTAACCTGTTTGTCACGTCGCTGCACGATAAACATCTTTTGTACCCTTAACTGTATGTACTGTGGAATGACAATGTAAAGACTCTCTGGAAGGTAATGCTGAAAAGAAAGACAGCCTCAAGAATGCAGATAGCTAACCCCTGGACGGTTCTAGGACATTTTGTCACCGATTCTACATAAATTTACCAGACCTAACCAAAATAAAGATATTATCATCTAAACTTAATAATTACATCATTGTATTCTACAGATCAGTGACGAAATGTCCGCCCACCCTACTGAACAAACCAGTCTGTGCTGGGGTGTCAAAGGTGTTCACACATGTCATAAATATTTCCATTAGCATTTCACACTTCAATTTTGTTTTATCTATATATTTTTTTCTTTTTAACTGATCTACTCAGCAAGAAACTCTAATGTATATAATAACACAAACTCTTAAACCCAGATACAGTATATATCCTACACAATATATACCATACCTCAGTTCTGGGCTTCTTCAAACACTCTGTATCTTTAGCATCAGCCAAGAGTTTACAAACAAACAGCATAAACTGATTCCTTCTCAACATTTACTTGTATAGTCACGGACACGTGAAACCAAGTCAAGGAAATGAATCGCTGAACTGACTTACCCTGGGTGCAGTTGTGCTTCGTTTGGGAGGGAGTGAACTTTTGATCCTGACAGTACAATATATTATTACATATTATTACACATACATAACATAAAATGTACTTGTGTGACCTTCCATTATGTAATGCTTCACAGTTTCATGAAATTGCATTGAACCTCATGAAACAATTAACTTGCAACAACTGTTATTGATATCAACTTTATTTCAATGATGCCATACCATTTTCTGACAAAAATACAAAGTGTTCTTCCTTCGTTGGCATTTATAAACCAAAAATAAGGAACAAAAGACAATACTGTACGCTATAAATTCAAAGCAGTGTGTGTTTATGACAGTTCTAATAACAGATACTGTACATGAGCCAAGTTTTTCAGAGAATAATTTCATTACCACTACTGTACTGTACCCTATTTCTACACAGAAAATAAAAGTAGAAAAATAAAGCATAAGCATCTGACTTCTGAAAGTATTTTAACATAATCCATATATGACTTACAGATTCTGAAGCAAGCAGTTTACTTCTATGGGTGCTGCTGAAATGCATCTTAGACTAAGCATACAATTGACACACATGGTGGTTCACCAGCTACAGTCATTATATAGTTAGCCAACTGACTCCTTAAATGCCATGCTAAGTTATGGTTGGTTTGTAAAGATGCCACAATAACAAATAGCTATACTGAAGGACAAGTGCTTTTCAACCTTCCACAATAATGACTCTTGTTATCTCTAACCACTGTACTGTACTTAGATGACAGTGGGTTCTCTAGCTGCAATGAAGTAACTGTACAATAACACAACTGGTGATTCAGCTTCTAAAACAAAATATACAGAAAATATTTTGAAAGTTGAAATGACACATTGCTGTAATCTTTAGCTACAATGATAAAGTTGCATCACCTAGTCATCCTGATCAAATTTAACTCCAACCTGGGTTCTCATCTTCTCCATAACCTCAGCATTGGTAAGAGACTCCTTGTGGGTCATCACAGGGCTCTCCAGTAAACCTGTCACAACACATAGAAATCATTACTGTACTTTAGAATTTTTTTTTTTTACATTCACTTTTGATCCTTCTCTTTATTCGTCTTACAAAGAGTAGATAATTTGTTGTATTCTATATCAACCAAAATTTTCTTGGATATCAATTTAGTACAATTCTTTTTATACTGACCTTCATTTAGGCAGCGCCGAACCTCAACTGCTTCATACATAAGTCCCTGACTGTTCTCAAAGTTGAAAATATGGCCTGTCTTGGGTAACAGTGACTCATACTTCCCGGAGGAGGATTCCAAACTTTCTGGAGCCCACATGGGATAATTAACCTGAAACAAGAGAATTGCAAAGACTGAGGTACACTTTGATTGTTGGTTGATCTAGCGTTGTACTGTACATGGTTCTATGGTTCACAGTGCTTCTTAATAATGTACAGTGCAGTATGTACAGGTATATGGTCATGTTACCAACACATTAACACTTCCTCAAGTTAAGACACCAACTCAGCCACATTTAATTTTTGTAGAGTTTTAATTTCCTGCATAATTATAAGTGTAACATGGTTTCTCTTTACACCAACACACTGCCTTGGGCAAACACCACAGAAACAAAGGAGAGAACAGAGCCAAATATATAAATTTCAAAATAGTAAACTGATGAAATGGTGAGAGCAGTACAGGTATACAGAAAATAGAATACCATTTTGGCAAGATTTTTTAATGTGAGGGCATATAAGTTTTGGATATTTTTGTATTTTATAACTGGAGATTATCTATGTACAGTACTGTTACAGTACTTAATTTGGGGCTCCCTGATGCTTCCACTTATGTTACTCAGGTAAAAGGAACTCAATTTACTTATGACATAAAAAGAGGTCAATCAAAATAGCACAAAAAACTAGATAATTGTGACAGCATAAAAATTTTACAATGCTTGGTAAAAACTGACCCTTTCCCATTTGATTCTTGAGGTATAGCAAGACAAAAATTTTCTCAACTATAAATGTAAATAAGTGCTATTAGGTCTGTGTAATTCCTTCTCTCATAAACCGGGTATTCTTCCTATCTTATTTACATTCATAACCAACACTGTCCCAATAACAATAACATTGGATAGACCAACCGTCCAAACGGCTAGTAAGATCTGTAACTTTTCTTATTGGTTACAACAAAGATGCTGATACTTACTAACCTTGATTGTACCCTTGGTGCCAATAACAAATCCCTCTGAGGGCAAATCTCCTCTAATGGTGCTACTCAGAGAAGCTACTCTCCTCCCAGAGTACACCAGAGAGGTACTTATCGTCTCATCCACGCCCTGATAAAAGAAATTATAGTAATATTTACTGAAAATGTAATTACAGGTATTTACAACAATTATTATCATCATTATAACACAAATTTGTCATAAACATGAAAAGTTTAAAATCATATTCAGAAACAATCATGTACTGTATCATGTCTGCACTGCAAACTTAAAAGGCCATTGTTGTGAAACTTATTACAAATATATTTAAATCCCCTCAACCTACCTAACCAAAGCAGACAACTAAATTTTGGTGCATGAGAAGAGGTAAAAACAAAAATAAGTACAGAACTCTCTTAACTTAAAACACATTCCATGATTTGTTTCTTGTGACTAATTTCAATAACCTTATAATCACTACAGTACCTTCATATCAAAAATTATTATTATCATTCGCCTTCCCAACAGTCTTCAAACAAGTGAATATAAAATTCAAGGAAAATAAATCTAATACCAATTTTCAAAATACTGGTAGCCAAATTCAACTTCACCATCATCCAGTCACTTTCATTCCATAAAACTTGCACTGCCAGTTAATGGTAATATGTATATTATACATGAGCTTTTACTACTGTACATGTATATTGAACTTTGGAAAATGTAAATAAAATAAATAAATAAAAACCAATACTGTACTTACATTGTCATTCAAATGTCCACAAGCAAGTACTTTTTGTGGCTTGTCTCCACCCATAACCAGAGTGGTAAACTGCACTGTGTATAGCCCAAGGTCCAGTGTGGCCCCTCCACCAGTCTCCCTCCTCCTATCAGAGTTACACAAGTCTCTGGTCACTTACATGCCTACAAGTTGAACTACTGTATATATATTCATCAAGGAATTCAGTTAATCATAACGGTCAGGACTGTTGAGTTTCTTTAAGGGTAAACACTTGGCAAATTAATGGTGAAGGGGTCATGCATGAATCAATAGGTATAAGGGTTATGAGTTTAATACATAATGATCATAGATAAAATGCTAAACCTATCTTAACTCAACATACGACTTAGCACCACTTATTTCATCATATGCTTAAAACTATCAAGAGACCCTACAATATACAGTATTCAGCATAATAGAGCGGTCCCCCTTGATGCTGCGCTCTTGGCCTTAACTCCCTCCCACTAATCAACACAAATAATGTATGTACTGTACCTGAAGTCTTTATACCCAACAAGGTTTTCATATGCATTTATTTGTTGTATAAACAATATACAACACAGTGTTTGTTTTGTATTTTGACACGTGATCATGCATGAGAGGCCTGAGAACATACACATGAGAGCTGGAACAATCAGAATAGGTTTGTAAGTTTTATTAGACTGATTTATCATACTTTAGTTCTGCTTATACTGTACTGTATTATAATAAAATTATTGATGGCATAGAAAAATGTAATAACCTCAAAAATAATTTTTACCAAAAATTGTCATATAAACATTCATTTTACATACAATTTATACTGTATATTGTATGACATTTTTAATTAATTCCATTCAATTTTTAAAAAAAAAATGGTGTTTGTATCTTTATCAATAAAGTATAAAAACATTAGAATGATAAGTGACTCGGTTAATGAGCAGACCATGAGTGGTGTGGCTGCTGCTGCCAACCGATCCCAGCTTTACCCTCTCCACCACTGATTGGTCTGTTAGCCACTTGGGCAGTCAGTCATGTCTTTGTTACACACTGTTAGCAAGTATTGGTTGCCAGAGAAATGATTGGCTACCAGTGTGCTAAAACACAGCACAAGAATTTTAAATGTGAAAGAAAGTATATCTGTGTAACCATGGCTGGAGGCACAGTAATTCTATACCGTACTGTACAATACATCTATACAAGTAAGACCAACATACAGTACAACATGATTATCAAGAGACCTCAACCAAACTTACACCATCCTTGTTACGTCTTCAATAGACTTTCCAAAGGAGCAGATGACCTGCACTACATCTCCAATCTCTCCAGACTGGATCCTTCGGGTCAATTCCTGGTAAACGGGGAAAAACCTCGACCACACTGCCTGTAATGAAAGAAGCCCTTTAGTGTTTATAAGCTACCTATTAAAATAACTAACTGTACACTAATAACTTTTTACTTCTAAATCTCCAAAAATTTTCTTAGAATAAATTCTTTTTCATACTAAACTGAACTGCATCAGCATCCTTTTCAGCCTGTGTCTGATATTCATAATTTCTAATGTTTATTCTATAAAACATTTATCAGACACAAAAACTTATACAATGCACTCTCATTTTTACACAATGTTGCTTTTTCATGCCAGACAAGACTTCCTCATTTCTACCTTGCATGCATAGCTGAGTGGCATGCATACAACTTGGTTTCTCTTAACGCTGCTAAAAATACCTGTATATACTGTACTGTACAAGCCCAATATCATACACGTCATCTCTTTTAACAATACTGCACCATCTTCCTATCGTCACACAGCATGGAGATTTTAAGTATCACACTTACTTCAAGTCTTACCTTGACAAATTTCATCAGAAATATATCTAAAGCTGCCTCAATAAAATTTTACTCAAGTTCAGAGCCAGGCCCTCCATACTTATATTGTACTTGCACACTGCAGTGGGTCCAAATTTCAAAAGTTTCTAGAGTTTTATAAGAACCCTGGATCCACAATACAAAGACCTTTACACAGCAGTGTTAACACTGTCCACAATACATGTACTACAGTTATAATACAATATTGGCAATCTTAATTAGTTTGTCAACAAATTCATTTTCACATCCATCTATCAAAAGTCTGATGGTAGCTTAGCTTTTAGACCTTCATTAGGTAACCTTTTATATGTACAATACAGTATTTCAATTAGGTTTTTCAGACTCATCACTGTAAATTATTGTCCCTAAACAAGGCCCAATGGTTTCACATATATTGTACAGTATAAGCACTGTAGGGCTTGCCACTTTCTACAACAAACATCACTTACAGAGTACAGTAAGTGATGAAGTTAATAAAAATATTGAAATAACTTACTTCCATAAGGAAGACCTTCTTCTCCTTGGCAAGCTGAATGAGCTGTTTTACCTCCTTCACATTCATACACAGGGGCTTCTCACACAGCACATGTTTCCCAGCCTGGATCATGAGGGAAGCAACAGGAAGATGCTGTGTCTGGATTGTGCCTATATATACCACCTCTGCCAAGGATATTTTAATCACTGCAGAGCTTACACATGACTCCCAGTTTGTAGTTAGAAAAATAAAAAAATAAGACATTGAAAAAACAACATCACCAGTCCTGCCACAAGTACTATTACTTCCTTATCTACAGAATTTGTGTGTATAAAATTATGACATATTTGTTAATTAAACAATTGAAATGGCATACATGAATGTTGCTGATGTATGTACAGTAGATTAAATTTCAAGACAAAAAATTTAAGCAAATAAAAATATGGGTAAAGGTGGAGCATACAGTTAGCTCCCGAGCGCATTTAGATATTTTGTTCATATTTTCCAAAATTGTTCTTCGGATGATTATGAATAATAAAATCCAAATGACAACATTGTAATTTTTTTTCTTCTTTTTAGCTCATCCTTTAACCATAAATTACTTGTTAGTGAGCAGTGTATGAAGGAAGAGGGAAATAACGGGGTAAAAACACTGATCATATGGCAGTAATTTCACTCGAAGAAATAAATTATTTACCGTAATTATGGTGCCGTTGGATCTTCCATGGCAACCACGTTTTGTTTCACATCTTCTGCTAAACGTGAGCTTCCACAGCCTTTGTTTACATGCCAGGAAACTAACAACGATCTCATCTGGCGGGTTTATTATGATTTATATTGGACCGAATTCGTTAATTTTTTTCTTGAGATGTTGTTTGGATGATAGTAAGAATATCATAAAAACAATGCACAGGTTAGGATGTTAAGTGAGATTAGGTAGGTTAGGTAAAGTTCTAATATGTTCTGTACTTTGTTAATATGATTTTCTTAACTTAGAATCATCCAAACAACATCTAAAAATTTTACACAATTCCATAAAGTCCTTCTGGTGCTTACCGTCTCCTCCACCATTACCAAAACATGAACAACTGCAATTCCTAAAAGTAAATTGCAACTTTCTAGTGAGGAAAAATTTTTCTTCGACACTGAAATACCCAGTACTGTACATACCTAGTCAAAAATATATGGTTAATGTTCTTCCATTGGCTGTCCACAGGTCTCCAATTTTCAATATTACAGACACCAAGACTATAAAATACCAAACATACGACTTCATATCATTTCTTGTGCAAATCAATATTAACGGAGTATCTCACAAATTTCTATATACAGTACGTAAATTTCTGTATCTGCCATGTTGCCAGTCACTTCCCTCCTCCCTTCCTCCTCCTCCTCTTTGCGACATGACAACTAATGACCTTCAAGTATCGTATCATGTGACTTGGATGGCCAATCATTTTGAAGCAGCCTTCCACTGCACACTTTCGAATTTTGAAGGCTCGTGATGGCGTGTGATGTGTTCTCTCCCTTATCTAGACGTTATTCAGTGAGTTTATGAGAACGAGAGTAAAGCAATCCAAACATTACAAGATCACGGTGTCCTACCAACATTAAAACTATGTCCTACATGTGGAATTTTTTTTAAGAAAAGACAGAAATTCTTTTGTCTGTAACCACATGCATACCAGATCACCCAGCTGTATCCTCCACCGAAGTAGCAAGTAAGCTCCAAAAAATGGCTAGGTTAGGGTATCTTTTACTTTCGGACATAGTGCCCCCGAAAGTTATAAACTACCGAAACATTTAGATCTTGCTATTTTGCGTATTCTGAACCCCATATATACACAGCGGAAATGAATAATAGCGACACAATTGAATTTAATTGATTTTAAGTAGTTTTCAGTCTTCGTCTGTGAGGTGATGTTATCGGCGCATCACGCATGTGCAATGTTGACTGACGTCATCCAGTCGTGACCAATGAGGTATAGATACCATCACCCGAATTTTTTTCGACCAATCACATTTGAATTTTCTCAAAGGAAGCAGCCTGGGTACGATTTTAATTTCATTGACCAGTTTCACAATGGCCGTGGTGGAGGTTGGTTGTCGTTTGTGCTCCTATGATTATTTTAAGTTTATTGCAGAGTTTTACGAGAAAGACGATTATTCTATCCAATTCTTACGTATCCTGGTCCTTTCCACTTCTAACTAAGGTATTATACTTTCGGACACATGGTGCACCCCAAAGTTTTTAACTACGGAGACATTTAGGTTAGTTTAAGCTAGGCCTACCGCCCGCGACTAGAGGTTAGGTTAGATGATTCATTTTAGTTTTCTCCCCCACCCAAAAACTACGATTTCACAGGCTCATACCCATTATTGTGGGGGGAGGAAGAAACCATTTGTGCCAAAAAGGAAGTCAGATTTGCTTAAAACACACCAAAATATACTGTAAAAACATATTGGTCAACCTCTAGGGACTCGTGTTTTAAAGTAAAATTTACCTAGGTTAGGTTAGGTTTTTTTTTTGGTGTTTCACTCAAACTTGACCGTCATTTTGGTGCAAGTTAGCGGTTTCGGTTACAAACGAAAATATTCATTTAAAAAAAAAGAACACAAAAAAACGGTAATTTGCACAAGAAATGAAGGTCAGACCTGAGTAAAACACATCATAATACAGTACACACACACACCAAAAAAATAACATTGTTGTATTAAAACCCCACTTATAACAAATTTAAAGATTCATGGGCAAAAGTGTAGAAGAGGGTGACCACCAGAAGGAATTGTCCCAATTGGTTGAAATTTTTTCTACACACTAATATCATGATATTAAATACAAAAATGGAAACGACAATGCATAGAACCTAATTATTATCCTAATAGAACCTGACCTAACATATACCCAACCTATGGGTTTGTTAGGTCAGGTTTTATTAGGCTCTACGGTATGCATTTTTTTTTTTATAATGCTAATAACATGATATTAAACACATATATGGACACCAGAATATATAGAACCTGACAGTCTTTTTATTTACTCTCTCCTACTTTACAATTCTCCTCCCGGCGCCATTTTTGTTTACCTCGCTGAATCCCTTTTCAAGAGATGTTTCCTAATTGCAGGTGAACGCTTCCACGTATTCCTTCTTGCTATTGCTGATGTATATCAACCTCAATATTAAGGTAAGCTGTTTAACACATAAATTAACACGCTAATGCATAGAACCTAATGGAACCTGACCTAACAAACTCATAGGTCAGGTTCTATTAGGATAATAATTAGGTTCTATGCATTGTCGTTTCCATTTTTGTATTTAATATCATGATATTAGTTTGTAGAAAATTTTTCAACCAATTCGGACAATTCCTTCTGGTGGTCACTCTTCTACACCTTTACCTATTATGTATTCAAATCATACAGACAATACAGAGTACTGTACTAGGTATTAAATATTCATATACTAAAATCCTACCCTACTGTACAGCTACAGCAACTTCTCTTAACTTACCAACATTAGGATCTCGTGCAAGTTCATCATATGAACCATAAGCTTTCTCTACTCCATACTTAGAAGCAAATTTTTTGGCACTCTCAAGTGAGCGAGCAGCCACGGCCACAACGCGATGTTCTCCTTCAGGTAAAGCCTTCAGTGCCCCCACGAAGTCATTAGAGATCAGACCTGCACTCACTATACCCCAACGTGTTGCCATTTTGGTGAATCAAATTTGTTCTGCAAAAAATAATACCTTGAAATGATGCTGGTCACTAGTGTTGGTTGCTACTTACATTTTGTGTAAATATAAATAATAAACTACAATAGTACAAGGATCATCAAAATCTTTGTAACAACACCAAAAGCCAACTGGTGTATGTAGGTACTGTATATTCATAATTGCATACAGTACAGTAATTACAATCACATACAAACAAACACATATAAAATCTATTTAACTCAGCAGTGCCTGGTAACAAGCGTCAAGTGACACTGGCAAGTACAAATACGAAACTTTCCGGGATCTCTTATTACTTAATGCCAGGATGACATACCATACCATTTATTCCTTTAAAATCAAATTTATATAATGTCTCTTTACTTTCACGAAAGTTCATGTGCATTTCACTTACCCACGACGGTAGAGTAGAGACGTACTGGTGTGAGGAGGCAACAGGACGCACTGACTGACGGTGGTTGATTCCCTCCGAGACACGATAACTTACCATTTCTTAATCTATTAAATAATACCCCTTATCTCATTTTTTTTCTAACAGTACTAAAGTAAACATTCTCCCGTCTAAAGATTCACCATAGACTATGGTGAATCTTGAGAAACGTAATATTTTGTTGCTGATGGCGTGTATTTACTAATCTAGTATTTGTGCTAGAAAACTCTTCGGTGTTGAGGAAGAGCAATGCATTGTAAAGAGCTACAATATTCCTTGGTATTCCGTCTTGAGCATAATTTAAATTTTAGCTTTACTTATTCATCTACTTACTGGCGGCATCATTCATCATGACTCGCCGGCTTCTATGATAGTGACGGATATGATTGATATCGCCGACTAGACCCAGACGGCCTAGATACCGACCGCTCCTTTTCAGGGGCGGATCCGGGGTGGAGAGGGGTCCTGGGGGAGGTTCTGACCCCCACCCTTTCATCAGAAAATTCAAATACTTTTTCATTAATGCAATAATATACTCTGGCGTATCTGTATAGTAAAAAGTAATTATTATTGACCTCACACTATCTCCTAATATTTAGTGCACATGGCCTCAAAATGTGAGTGGTGGGTGGTGTAGGATGGGACAGTGGTGGGTGGTACAGGATGGGACATTGGTGGGTGGAATAGGATGGGATAGTGGTGGGAGGAGTAGGATGGGACAGTAATGGGTGGTGTAGGATGGGACAGTGGTGGGTGATGTAGGATGGGACAGTGGTGGGTGGTACATGATAGGACATTGGTGGGTGGTACAGGATGGGACATTGGTGGGTGGAGTAGGATGGGACATTGGTGGGTGGTGTAGGATGGGACAGTAATGGGTGGTGTAGGATGGGACAGTGATGGGTGGTGTAGGATGGGACAGTGGTGGATGGTGTAGGAAGGGACAGTGGTGGGTGGTGTAGGATGGGACAGTGGTGGGTGGTGTAGGATGGGACAGTCGTGAGCTTACATGTGTCGTGTTTACAATTTATTCAAACCTTTAACTCAAAGCTGTGCAAATACAGGAATATACAAGTTACTCAAAAACCAGATTATCTCACTTTCGTTTTCTGTTGTTACATATCCAGTAAACCAGAGGTCGCCACACCTCATGTTCCCCTTGTGTCCCCATGCAGCCATTTCTTGGAGCCGTGCAATAAACTGAAAATATGTTGATGTACACAGTCTAACAATTACTATTATCATAAATTGTAAAGATTAAAACTTAAAACTGCAATCAAATATAAGTGCTGTCCAGACATTTGATAATTAAATAATTAAAAAACAAGCTTAGTGCAATATTATGTGATATGTACTCACCCTGCAACTAATGCAGTACAATATTTACAAATGAAGAAAATACATTCATAAGGAACAGAAATATACTTGAAGATGTGTGTTACAGGAGACAGGTAACTTCTGCATCATGTTACTAACACTTTCATTTTGTTTAACTGCATGCAGATGAAGCCTTGCTACCCTCCCCCGGCACAGATAGTGTGTTGTGGTCTCAATAGTGAACAAGCAATGCTCTGGACCCTGTAACTTCAGCAAATTCCACATTTCCAGTGTAGAAATTGTTTTACATCACCGATATATAATTACTACTTTACAGTACATGGTTCACATTTAAAAATAATGTTTGGTACAGACAGTATGATTAAAAATTCAATACTGGACAAGGATATTGTGCAGCAATGTTGTACAGTGTTTTTTGCTTACCAGCAGCTCGATGGCTGAGTGGATTGTTACCAATAGTTAAAGGATTTTTTTTTTTAAGAGTTCTGCCCCACACAAAGGTGGGTTATAGTTTACTGGGCAACTCCTCATCCTGTGCAAGATGAAACATCAACGTTTTCTGGCCATTTTTCATACTTGCATGGGTCAGTTAAAATTACAGTACCTGGTGGCAGCTGTTGGCTAAAACCAGAATGGGACAAATCACCCCCCCACACACCAACCCAGGGCACCAGCCCAGAAAATGTAGCCGAGACCAGGGGAGGAGCACAGCACTGGCAACCAATATGTTGTAGCAAAGCTTTATGGCTGGATGCTCTTCCTAATGCTAACCCATAGGATGGGACTGTTCTTATGTTTAGATGTTTCATTGTTTTAACCCTTTGACTGCAGGAGGTTACGCTAACTGAATAAAATGGTCTGGCGGTAGCCAGAATAAAATGGTAAGTGCGAAAATGGCAGCAAAAGGGTCAATTCCATTCACATGATTAAGGATTCAAAACAAATAACACTGCACTATACTTTAATCACACCATGTTATATAAATGTATAACACGATATACCTATATTATACAAGCTTATGCAAAGCCGACACAGTAAAAATGCTTTGGATCAAAAATATATATTATATATACTCTTTAAATATAATCTCCATAATAATTAAGCACAGTTGCAGATAACAAAGAAATACTTGAGCTGCACAAGGGGTCCACACAACAAACATTAAACTTGTACCAACATGCTCCAGTACCTCCATAAATAAAGGCTCATACTCAATAATATCAATGATAAATCCCAAAAGAAACGATATACAGTACAGTATACTGTACCAGGGTTGATGAGTATTATAAAAAATAAAAACAAAATAATTTTACTAACATGGTTTTTATGGTGTGCTTTACCAGAACCAAGTAATGAAAAGCCTCTACAAACAACATGATTATTGAACACTATTCTATGAATACACTATACTGTATACAGTATACCTGTACAGTATATACTTTGTATACAGTATATATATTTATTACATGTGTATGTGTGTGTAATGAAAATATAGACATTTTCATAACTCTTTTTTTTAAGTGAACATCTCTCATATTCTGGGTACTTTTGCAATATAACCAAGAATAGAGAGCATTGAAAATATTTGAAATTTGGTTGAATCCTGTTCAAAGTTCTTCCAGTGTGTGTGTGTGTGTCAGGAAGGAGGTTCCAGTGAGAGTAGGACTAAGTCTGGGGTGTAAAATGTTGGTCAATACCTTGACAGATGGGGCAGTACAGTAACAGAGATATAATATGAACAAGAGTGACACAGATGGATCTAAATATGTTTCATTAGATCTGGTCTGAAGTTACTTGATGATGCAGAACTCAACATTGTTCACCTTAACTACAAGTTGTGGAGTATTATTAATCTAAGTTACAATCTCTCACAATCTGTTCCATCTGCCTAGCATTACCAATGAGTTATATTTGTGAAAAGTGTCATAAGTAAGGGATCCACTGTCCAGTATGTGATTTGTGGCATCAGTGAAATCACCCCTCTCTGTGTCATAAAGTACAGTTCCTAATTATGGCTAGTTTCTTCAATTCAGTTCAGCAATATAAGCTTCACCACGTCCAAATATACATCTTAAATTATAATTATTTACACTAGAGATTTACAGGTGAAAGCAATTTACAATACAATGACTTATTTTTCCAAATCTTTATAAAATCAATCACTATCCTATCCCATATACTACCAACAGCATGAAGTACCTATAAACTAAAGATAACATCCTCCCACAAGAGAGAAGAATTGTTCAAATCCATGTAAAAGTGGTTTGGTGTACATAAGTACAGTATTCCTGAGCTGAAGTGGTAAATCACCTGACTACTAAGCTGAAAAATTAAAACAAACCTTTCTTACTACAGAAGACCAGGACACTGCCAACCATGATCCTAGGAAGAGATATAAGCTTGGGAGAACTGGTATGAGGTCATCCTAACTGATTCAAAGCAAGAGACCTTGAAGACTTAAAATAAGACACTCTTACAGCTTCTTATGTTAAGTTCCACATGATTTGTGAGTACCTCCATACTGTCAAAGGATAGTATGTACTATGTACATACTTGTTAATTATATGCTTAGCAAATCTTATAACAGAAGAGCTTGAGCAAAAATGTCATCACAATGTGGAGAACATTAGTTAACAGATTCTCTGAGAATAGGTGAAATAACTGAGAGGTTTAGTGAGACAAGTATAGTACACTGTCTTCCTGATAGGATATCTTATCAAGCCTTGTCCCGATAAAGCACCATGAGGCACTTCATGATTGAAAACTCATACAGTACACAGGAAAATTTTATAATTGAGTTAATGACTGATATATAACAACATAAGAGTACTGTACACACTACAGGATTTCGTTGAGACTTATGAGTGCACATGATAAATGATATCTTAAGTACCGTTAATTCTCCTCAATACTTTAGGAATATAAGATTAGACAAATGTACAGTACTGTATATGTGTTAAAAAACATAAACCATGAGAAAAGTAAAGGATAGCTTGTTACAGTAAAAGGGAAATGATATCAATATAAAGCAGTGCTATAAACAAAACATAACTATAACATTTGTTTTATCAAGGGGGGACATCTTTACGACAGTACTAACACCTCTCAAAATAAATACACACGGTAATATAAACCTCAGAGTGCAGGCATGCGAGTACACTACTATAAAAGTGATGTATACTGGTAAGTGACAGAAGAACAACCTGCAAAAAATCTTGGGGCCTTGTTGTGGAAACATCGCAACAGAACACATCTATTACAGCAACAGAATGAAGGAATGAATGACTAAAAATGAGTCAGTGTTGCTCGTGATTCCAACAAACAGCTGTGAAGCATGAAACATCTTTGCCAAAATTATAAAAGATAATGAAAAACAATTATGCCTATAAGAGTATATACTGTATGTAAATGAGTATAACTATAGATCAATTTGAAATAAGGAATTTGAACCTACTAACATACTTTGCTATCTGTCCCTTTTATCAATGAAGTGCTGGTTATTCATACATACATAAAGGTGGTACACTATAGCACCAATCAACACCACTGGTATATGCCTCACCTACTTGGTTTAAACTATTCAACACAGTACTGTAATAGGCTAAGAAAAAAAATCAACTACAATAACAACATCCAAAAGGGCCGAGACAGAGTGTTTAAATGTCTCGAAGATCCTTCACAATAACCCATAGACCATACTAATAATAAAATTTTGTTTTGTTTTCGTTACCTCCTTAATATGACAGTACTGTACCGTTTCACTTGCAGAATAATTATTTATAAAAATTTACATACGGATACGATGAATAGGCTACTGCATTGCTCTGCCAGCATATAAATATATATACATCTTATGGCATAACAAATTTTGTAGAGAAATATAAACTGCAGTAGTACACATCAGTTCACCTGTAGAGTCCACAAACAAACTATAGCATATAAAAGATAAATAAAATGCAAGCCCTGGGTGAGCCCATAGATACTGTAAAATGGGAACAAGTTACATCAACACTAAGCAAGAAGCCAGTCCTGAAAAAGTAAACAGGAGATACATACTGAGGCAATTATGTACAATTATTACAAATAGTATATAAATGCAGGTACTTCCACAGCATACAAAACACAACCTATCTTAATTTCTTTATCATACAACTATTTTATCTTGGCACTGAACTTATAAAAAAATGGTAAGATGGTATGATAGACTCATCAATGCATGCTTACTGTCGTCAAGCTTGGATTCATAAAAACGACAGATAACTGATTACTATTTGATGAGATGTACACTGAAGCATTCATTGTCCTGTAAGGACTAAGCAAAAGCAGTTGATTGTTTAGTTTGTTTCAAGTGTAGACACAAGCTAAAAAGTGTAGATAAGGTCAAATCTCCAACTTATCATCACCACAGACTAGGTGAAGCAGCAGATTAAATGAGGAAAAAGAAACAGCATTCAATGGACCACGACTTTAGTGCTGAAGGACCTGGATGAAAGCAATAACTTGAAAGCAATAACTTGGTGTTTGTAAGAAACAAATTCATAGAAGAGCTGCATATTTTGCCATAGACAAATGCTTGCCTTCCCCCAGTACCAGCAAGTAGTATTATATAAAATAATCTATAAATGGCAAATAAAAATATTAAGTTTTCCATGTATCAGAATCAGAAATTATATATTCTAATCCTTGCAATCACAACAGTACAGGGTTCTGAAAATATAAATTTATCCCTGGGAAGTGGTGATGGTGTGTCTTTATGATAAACTCTGGGAGGTCTCGCATGCCAAGGGCAGCTGGGAACACCCCATACTGTATTGGGTGCCAAGGAAATAGTACAGACACACCACATATAAGAGATGAGGCACCCAGGCCTTTTAAAAACACACATATACTAGTATATTATAGGTATCCGCTACACACACAAGTGGGCCCTCAAACACTTTGCTGGTATTGTCGGTAGTAATGTTGGTTTTCTATGCTGCTAAGAGCAGTATCGGCAGACAACACTGTTTTTAAAATAATTTATTAAATTAACAAGCTGTAATACTGTCATATGCCGGCCCACACCGCTGGCTATAATTGGCTAATTAGGTGTTACCCGAGAACGACCAATGTCAATGAGGGTGGTTCACAGCCTGTATGCTTATATAAGTTTTCTAATGTTTTGATTTACGATGTTTTTTTATATTACTGTTATTTAGTTTTGGTTGTTAACACATTATGTAAGAGACATATTCTGTTTTATAGGGTATAAAGTGTAAGACTTTTAATGTATTGTATTAGGATTAGTTGACAACCGAGCCATATTTGTGTGGTGGTGGTGATGGTCAGCATGAGCCACCAACTGAACCAGACAGCACGGAGAATCAGGAACTCCAGGCCTGATATACACACGCGGACGTGGGGTACAAGATAGCCGCTCAGTTGTGCGTGAAGTAATTGGAGATATTTGGACATGAAAACTTGATCTGTGAATGTAAATACTGTCGTGTAATATACGCCATTTTTACACGACGAGTTTCCATAAGCCCTTCCTCTCGGTCTGAAAGTCCCGTGACAACTGACACATACTTTACGGAAAATTTCATCTATAAACTTATATCTTTTTTTTTGAGCACTGAAATGTTTATCTTTACCATCTGTCCATTTTTTAAATGTAGTTTACCAATAATTTCAATGGCTTGTTTTTATTACTACAGTATAATGGGAGAATTGATGTACAAGTACATTTATATTTGGAATGTCAAATAAATATCTTTCATAACTTAAAGTGCAAATAAACTTTTGAAAACACCAATTCATTTCTGGTACAGTACAAGTTGTTCAAGCAATAGAGTACACCCACCAACCCCTGTTTAACAGTGATTGTATTAACACTTAAGAAAAAATGAAATGTCTCACGTTTAAGCTACACATACACTATACATTAAAGCAGCAAATTATTACCTTGTCACATATATAAAAACTATGTACATATAAGCATGAAGGTACAGTATAGGAATACTGAATTGGATATCTGTGATGAAGTTCACTTAGTGGGAAAATATATAAATATATTAACTTTAGTTACATTTTTACCAAAGTTTTTGTACCATTGGCACCTGAAAAGTGAGATTCCAAGTTGAGAATATACACTAAGGAAAACATTAACAACTATAGTACATAAGATCACTAGCCTCGTGGCACCTCCTTTATTCCTAAAGCAGCTGAGTTGCAGTTTCTCCTAAAATTGGTGTGTGCAGGTAGGAGGCGGCCCGCAATGTCATGTCTGAGGCGCAATGCATATCTTGTTATCTGTTCTGACTTGGTACCTCTTCAAGCTTCTTCCACACAACCTAAAAAAATATAAACAAATATTAACCAATGCATTACTAATCAAAGTAATAGTTATTGTAATTCAAATTCTGGGGACGTGAAGCCTTTCCACCCAGTTATTAAACACCTTACTGTATAAGATTCCAATATCTAAAATCCTCTTCTACTATTATAGATCAAAGGGTACATACAAGTAACCCATAAAGAAGTTTGGACAAATATAAGAATAGAGGTACAGCCTATAACTCTGGAACCCTTTTAAAATTAGGATTTAATGAGTAACTCACTCTTATATCCACTTTCTTGAACAATTCTTGGATCCCTTAATTCTCCATGAAACTTTTTGTCTCAATTAGAGGGTGACAAGGTATCGGATCAGTACTGTCTACAGGGACCTTCTCTATCACAGGTTTATTCATATACAGTATTTTTATAACTATGAGCAAAATGTTATCACTGGTCTTCCTTTATATACTTTCTCCCTATAAATATGCTCTTGCAAGAATTTTTTATCAAGAGAAGTTATGTGAAAAAATCTTATCCACAGCAAACATACATTACACATCTGTCGGAGGAGTGCCTTTTCTCCATCAGCTAGAGCTGCATCTTGTGGAGTCAAATGACCAGTAGATCCTTGTTGAATCTGTGGAGGAGGTCCTTGTGAAGGTGGAGGTCCTGAAGGAGGATGGGAAGCCCCTTCAAGTTGTTCCTGCACCTCCAATACTCTCATCGCTGCTGCCACGGATGTAGGGCGGGACACCAGAGGAGGTGGTGGACCATCAAGAAGGTCATCATCACTTTCAGCAGATCCTATAAGAGGTGAGGGAGTAGAGTGAACAGGGTTCTTTAGCTGAGTGGTCTGCCATCAATCCTCAAACATTTGTCACATCTAAGACTACAGTCAAGGACATTAGTAACAGTCTCCGCTAAACTCCCAAAAACTACAATACAGAATAAAACTAAAAAAATTATAATGAGTGAATATGCGCTATACACAGTTGAATTTTCGGTGAATAATTTTACTACAGAAAACTTTGCTGCAAAATCTTACTCTCATCAAATTCTCTATTTATTCTTGTACAAACTTTATCCTTTATGACTTTCTCTCCATTTCCTCTTAATGATTTGTCATGGTCACTGTCACGTACAGCACCTATATTTTTATTTCATAACCCATTTCAACCACTTGATTTTACTAACCATCAAATTATAAACATAATACAGTACTGTAGTTCTTGCAATAATACAAGTGACTTAGTTTTCAGAGTAGAGATGAATGTAAATTATACTTTTGGGAGGAAATGCAATTCTTCACACGCATATACGGCAGCTATTGTGAAGAAGTCTAATAAAACTTGATTAATTACCGATTCACCTAACACGACTTACCGGGTCCTAATGGAGTTCTACTTGTAAGACCTAACCCAACAGCCCTCAGATGGTGTGAGAGGGAGTAGGGAGGCGGCTGCAGTGGTCGAGAGCCCAAAGACTTTTCTTTTGAGAGGTTCTGTGAACCAATGTGTAAGTCTACAGGCTCCATGCCTTCCCCTTCAGGATGTACACGGTCCATCTTGTTCAGTTCTTCTCCCAGCAGCTGCTTCTCTGTCTCCAACATCATTACCCGAGCTTCTAATGATCTTATATACGTTAGAACTTGTTCTGTAAAACAACACACATTGTAAGTACAGTATTGTACAGTAAATTATCAATGTTTTAATTAGGATATACATACTGTAAACAGATGAGTCAAAATAATGTATGAACACTTTAATATGTTGCACTCTATCTCACAAATTTTATTGAGTAAATATTGAGGTCACCAGTTACGGTAATGCACAACATATTGGAAAATATATTTCAGCTGTAAAAAAAAAAATAAAAAAAATTAAAATAGAATTGGTCATACGTACTGTCTATGAAATATGGCTATTTAAAGTGTTATACATATCTTGACACTATATATATATATATATATATATATATCAAGAAAATAATGATAGCATTTGTACCATTCATTGGAGACCTCTGACGGTTAAGTGTATCCTCTAGCAGTCTCTCTCTCGAGGATGACCGAGCAAGAGGAATGTCAGTAGGTAGAGGAGCAGGAGGCTGAGGAGGAACTTGGGATGGAGGATGTGGAGGTCCTGAGGGTTCATCTGCATTAGTCGATGAGGAAGAACCATCACCATCATCCCGGGTAATGAGGGGATGTCCGCAGTGACTACACGCAGCATTGTTCCGTTCCTCATCCAAATACAAACACAGCTCCTGCACCCAACCAAAATATTAATGAAAATTTAAAATGACATTAATAGAATATTTATATGTACTAAGAAATATATTACAGAAGGATCATGTGTGAAGAATGATCAGGAATAGTTTAAAGACTGAGAAGTAGAAGGTATGTAACAGTAAGGTGTTTGTATGGATGAATTACTAATAACATGTAGTTACTGTGGTGTTGTGTTACTACAGGGCTCAAACTCTGATGCAGTTGTCCCTAATCCAAGGAATACATCAGGATACAGTATAGTACAGATACAGTTCACGTATTTAAAATAAAAATTAAACCAAACTCTCATCATAAGTACTGTATTAGGGTAAAAAATCTTTAGCAATATCAACATAAGGAAATACTCTACAGCACTGTAGTTACATGCTTTGAATAATAAAGTTATCCATGCCATTTCTCAATACTCTCCTATTAAAAACTTTGACAAATATTTTGCACATCACAGAAATTTTCACACATTCTTCACCTTTAATTCTAAGTTATCCTTAATGAGTTCTTGCTGTTTAGCATCTAATTCCCGTAGTTTATTCTGGTAGGCCGTGACCTCTTGCCGCATGACGGATGCAGTATAGCGACCAAAGCGTTGCCATTCCCGCGCTAATTTTCTTCCCTTCTGTCGATCATCGTCAAGGAAACAACACAAATCACGCAGTTCCTGTATCAAGATTAAAAACTTCTTGCTGTTAGAATTTGCTCGAACAATGAGATATACGTTACTGCACCATGAGAAACACACCTCTAGCTTGCCTAAAACTTTTGTTTTTAATATTTCTGAAAGCTTTTTGAGGTCTTTAATAATATCATACCAAAGGTTACAAGTACACATTAGATTTTGATTTAAAGGCAAGTTACTCTCATGTCTGTTGAGATGAATTCAAGGCCGATGGGTGAGAATGGGAGTGCGGAGCAGTACAAATAACAGTGAGAAAAAATTCCTCATTACTTTTTGTTGGTTACTTTAGGGCAAATACACTCACTGCAATCTTACAAAAAATAAAATAAAATAGAATATATATATACATATAGTGCAATACATCGCTTCTCTTACATTTCTTGGATTCTACTAAAGAGTGGGGGCACAAACTTTATTCTCATCTAATTCACTAGGCCTGGTTCATGTGACAGAACAGTACAAGTAATAGGCTAATTCTGGTGTACATTCGGTATTATCCAGTGTGACCCTATCGGGCATCACAGGCTTCCTCCAGGTACTGTACCATACTCCAGTTTCTTCCTGTACTAACACTGGACCATAAAGTTCATAACAAAGTAATGAAGAACAGACTACTACCCAAAAGGCTAGTGAGCAAATATGATGTAGGACTGTACTGTCTCATATTTGACTACAGAATTACAGTAGCTATTCTTAACAATTTAAAAAGAATAAGCAACATTATTAAATATATTAAACAGAAAAACTGCCAACACTTCATGTTTCCTATTTTTTTTTTATAAAATACCAAAATCAACAATGAAATTTTTCAAAATCTGATTTCTGAGTTAAAAGCCTATTAATTACAAGGTAATGAAATAACTAAGTGGAGTCAAGAACCTTAACATGATGTGTCCGATATTACCTGGTTGTCATCAGTGAGGCGCTGGTGAGTATCACGCAGGTGTCTTAGTTCTGCCGCCTGAGCATGAAAAGTATGTTGAAGTTCTCTCATTTCACCTTCAGCTCGTACCGCCCTACTTAATAATTCACTTCGGTTTAGTGCACTAAGTTCTTCCTCCAATCTTCCTATATCACCACCACTGTTTGCACCTCCACTACCACTATTACTACCACCAACTACTCCTCCCCCTCCCCCTGGTCCTAGTGGCCCTGGATACTGTTTATTGGACTGCACCTGAGAACCACTGTGTGTTGGAGGCTGAGGAAGGTGTTTGTCTACTTCTTCAAGCAATACATGAGGTCCAGGGTAGCGTGGTGGTTCAGGATATGCTGGAGGTTGTCTCACTTCCCCGGTGGGGCCGTCGGGATGTCCCCTCTGACCACTTACATTATTTGGATGCGGATTATGTGGTACATATTGACCATGAGGTCCAGGAGGTTTATGTGGTGCAGGGGGTCCTATGGAACCCGGTGGCCCACGCTGATTTGGCATTCCATGAGTAACTGGATGACCATGCTGCCCTGGTGGTCCGTGTTGTCCTGCTCCCATTGCAGTTCGATGCTGACCAGGACCAATCTGTGGTCCAGGGCCTTGTGGCCCATTTTGTAATGGTGGTCCGTGTGGTCCCCGCTGGCCTGAAGGACCATGCTGATTTGGAGGTCCGTGATGACCATAACCAGTATGGGAGCCATGCTGGGCTGGAGGTACAGAGGGAGGTCCATAAGACCCAGGTGGAGGATGAGGGGGATGGTGTGGGGGACCATGGTGGGGCCCAGGCCGGGGGGGCCCAGTCTTTCCCTGGTGCTGAGGGTAGGCCATATGGTGCTCAAGATGCTTCTGAGTGTCGGCAGCAGGCATCAGCGCAGGTTAGTGGCACTTCCCTCAAAACTCAGGGTCAACGTCATCCAGCTGGAAAAACAGCATGAGTGTCAATACCAATAGGAGCAATATAATTCTGGTGGGTTTGGTTCTAAAATACCCCACAACACCCGAATTTTGCTAAGATTTAACTTAAAATATTGTAATGAGAAGACTACAGATGTGTATGGGTTAGTTAATTAAATTTTACTATTTCCTCTTTTTAAACACACCAAGTTCTGTAACTACAACAAACCTTTGAGCATTGGCCAAACAAAGTACTGTATCGGTATATGTATGTCATCCACCGCTATGCACCTGCCAGTCCACTTAATATCCATAAATTCTGAATCCGGTCTCATCTTACATTATCAATAAATGATGGAGCCTCATATCGGGGATTTTACGTCTTTAATTTTGGCTTGAATGCCTTTTTTTTTAGCCTTCACTATCGAGTCATGTGTCTTTGATCTGTGCAAATCCCATAAAAATTTCTATTTCTGCCCAATATGTTCTTAAACCTCTCCATTTTATAAATAAAGACGATTATATTGTTTGAATTGAAACCCATAGTAGGCTATGGATTTGCATTAATTTCCAATACCATTAGAGTAGCATTGGATTCTAAGTGAACTGTATATTCATATATTTTTTTCTATCTCAAGGAGGAGGACTTAAGGAGAAGCCATATTGTTTTTCAAAGGCGTCCTCATCACGTCGTGTTTGGTATCGTATCACAAGTTATCTGTGCTTGTGGAGGATGAAGACTGTCTGCAAGAGAAAGAGATCTATCAACATGGACTAGTTGGCAAGACGTGCATGTGTTCAAAATGCTGCACAGAAATGACCGTAAAAAATAAAGTGTGTTTCAGTGCAACAACCGATTGTACTCTAACGTCCACGAGAAACATAAAATTACTCCATGCCGCTTCAAGATGGTTGGTTTCATCGGTACCAGGTATCAAAGTAAGTTCCTGCCACCTAATATGCCATGGGTCTGGGGGGGATACGAAGTTAGGTAGGGTTAGGTAGGTTTCATTGGTGAGGTCAGGTTCTGTTAGGTTCTGTGCATTCTCATTTCCATTTCAGTTTTAGAATCATTCAAATAGTATCTCCAGAAATTTTGGTTCAATTCCTTAAGTTATTTCAACTACTAACCGTGTTCTCCACATTTACCAATTTCTTGTATCTGATGTACATATGTTTTATTTTTCATATGCTGTTGTTTCCACATTCAGATTATCTTTCTGTCCACCAATGATATTCTATAACAGGAACGCAGGTAACAATTCTTTAAAATAGTTGCGGCTGTGTGTAAAACAGTACTGTACCCGTGTTATCAAATGCTAATACAAACCTAATTCACTGCTATACTCTGGAACACTGACTTGTCATCATCAACAACTCTATGGAATTTATTTTTTTGTTCGAAAGTGAGTCTACATCAACGTGCTAGCTCCCAGCACCACCATGCTGACTTATTTACATTACGATATATGATCTGTCATTGATAAGATGAACCAACCAAACTAACCTATCCTACAATAGAAATAGGTTAGGTATGGTAAGTTAATGTACAGTACATTAGATTATGTAGTTTTGGTTAGGTAAGGTACGGAAAGGTTGCTGGGAGGCATTTTTGTTAACAGGTGAGACAAAAATAAGTTGTCCTCTGGTGACAATGTATTTACTCATAACAAAATCAAGGGAAAACAAAATTACGAAAAACTGTAATTCCTCCCTCCCCTTTTTTATGGTATAGGATAAGGTACTGATATGGCAGCCGTATGCAAAAGTCAATGTTTATTGGTATGGCAGCCTAATTAGCATGCGTGGTGGGCAGACCATACAATGATAGCTAAGACGGCCTTCATTCTGAGTAACCTAACCTAACAAAACCAAACCCAACCAAACGAAACCAAACAGACCTAATGAAACCTAACCTAATGTAACCAAACCTAATGTAACCTAACCATTAACAGTCCGTCAATATGGCTGCCGTACCTGTATCCCTACGTGTTTATAATTGTATATATTTCTGGGTAATTAATCTCGTTCTAGTACATGATCAGGACTTTGCTATGAAAATTAGATTTTTTTTAATGTATTTTACTGTATTTTGTGATGATTCTGACCGTCTTGTGTAAATCAGCAGTTATGAAGATATCACCAGGACCACCTATGGGGACACTAACAAACCTAACCAAACACAATGCTCCTAACCCCCCCATGACACCACTGTTGGAAGGCTTGAAGGTCATATCATCCTTAAGTCTACGTCATATGCTAATATGACTATGGAGGACTTCAAGCCGCCCCCCGTCTCAGTAACAGTAAATTCGCCCACAACAGGCATTAAGTTATGCTAGGTTAGGTTCAGTTAGGTTAGTTTAAGGTTAGGGTAGATTATGGTTGGGTTAGGTTAACTCGAACTTTTAAATAAACACTTTTCAACACATTTGCCACAGCTATGACAGTGTCCATTATAAAACACAGTGAAATTGTGATATTTTAAATTAGTTTTCTGTGAAAAATCAGCGGCTGTGAAGTCATAAATAATTACATCTAAAATAAAATAATAACATTCTGAAATTTTAACAGTTCTTTTCTTACATTCTCAGTGACATGCAAATAATGACAGCATAGACAGCATAATATAAATCTGAAAGTTCATTTCAAATTCAGCAAAAATAACAGCTCTACATGTTGCTGCTACATAAGGCTTTATGAAATGTATTATGTGTACACTATTGTCCTGCAGTACTTAGTAAGATACTTCTTAACAATGTAAATCATGTCAAGCTATATACATTTACCATAAATATCAGTTCACTGAAAAAATCTACCATTGGCATTAAAATCATATTCTTAGTCAGGGATGAAGAGCCATAATGACAATCACATGACAATGTTGGAGTTGTCGTGCAGATGCAGTGCAACTAAGAAAGCAGACATGCAATATGTGAGGCTCACGAGGAACCATGACAGTTAGTGAGAAACACACAGCTTCTCTACCCTGCCTAGTGCTCAACCTCCTCCTGCTGCCCCGCCTCACAACTAAAGTTTTTCCATGGAATGTTCAGTAGAAAAGTTCATACACTTCTTACCTTCCGTAGCCAACATGCTAAAATTATTTGATTGAGCAAGGCCCCGGGAATATTTAAAAAGAGAGCTACGCACTACACAACCTGAGGATTTTCACTTGACACACATAGCGGTGGTCCCGCGCAGGGACGGAACACTGCAATTTGAAATATTTAGCGCAATACAAGAGCTCTTACGTGTTCTTTTCCCTGTTAACTAAAGCATATTCAATAGGTTTATGTAATAACCCAAAATAATGGATCTGTCACGTGATTACCTGTGCAATCCACTAAAACACAAGGGGTTCACTGTAATCCACCTGCCAACACAAACATTCAACATGGCCACTGATCCCCAGTTGCCAAGTGTGAGCCTCTTGTGAAAACATTTATCTCCATGGAAATATCACCATTTAATGTACTTGTTTGTTAATGTTTTGATACTATTTAATAATTATTGACATATGGAAATGTTATCTGGTGAGGGTGGAGGAGGTGGCATGAAAGATATGGCACATAGTCATGCCCCGCGGGTGTCAAATGAAAGCTATGGAATGCGAGATTGCTTCATGCCTTCATCTTGGGTTCATTGAAATCACCAATAAAATCAAGAATTTTTACATTTTAATATTACAAGAACTGTGATTTAATAATAAATGAAAACTCTTGTGAGACCTCATTTTTACCCAGCACTTACTATCGAACAGGAAGTTAAATACAAATTATCGTAGCGCAGGAGTCTGAAGGAATTCCATTCACCGAGTTCTATCACATTATTTACCTTCACGCATTTGTGTTTTAATATATATGTTAACTAACGCACCACTAACATTTTGAGTTACTTTATCATCTCTTACTTACAGTGAAGATATATAGTCAAATAAACATTCTCATAATACCCATATACAATAATTTAACCTTCCTTGGTACTTAAAATAACACATGAGATGTTGAGATCTGTTAATTATCCTATCCAAAACTATAATTTAGTATTCTAAGTGCTATGACTCACCTTGTAGACAGAAACCAAATTAAAAAAGAATCATATAGAAATTAAACAAGTCTTTGTAGATACCTCACCTCACGCGGCCGCTCTCATTAGTGTATGACCAAACGTTTCCACGGACAAAAGTCAGCTCTTTTGTGCTATAGTAACTTAAATTTTAATATCTTTTTTTTTTTACTTGTTACAGTCACTAAAGTTTTAAAGCATAAAAATGCATACTTGAGTTTTCAAACCAAGGAACTCGAAACACTCTTAAGTGAGATATGTGGCTAGCAAGGTCAAGCTAGCAAGGTCAGTTAATGTGGGTCGGAGTGATGGAGCCAGTCCGGTTTATTGCAAAAAAGTGACGGTTATTAAGTTATCTAAGAATAATACCAGGGTAACTAATGACCGAGTAGATTGGTATATAACGCACATAAATATCACGATATTTTTAGAGCTTATATGAATCCACTACAGTTTGTGTTGTGTGGTGCCAAGGAGAGACGTGAAGTAAGAGAATGACTTGTCATTACATGCATTATATGACTTTCACACCAAGCACAGTACATAGCTTCTTTCTTTTATCCTCTTCCCTGATCGGCTCGTTAGCCGCTTGGGCGATTGGTCACGTCTCTGTCACGCACTGTTGGCAAATAATGGGCATGCACCGGCTCCTGAATGTACCTGAACCCGCTCCAGTGTTGGTCAAGTCTTCTCTTGAAACAGCTCACACTCGGTGCAGTCACAACACTTTCTGGTAGATTGTTCCAAGAGTTCACAACTCTCACTCCAAAAAAGTTTACCCTCACAGCTTTCTGGACCTTGTGGGGCCCAGCGTCCGCCAGCTCCAAGTAAGGACACTCGACTGAGTAGTGCCCCTTGAGATGCTTATACACCTCAATTAGGTCGTTAGCCGTTTGTTATGATGAGGTCTAGTGGCTTGGGTGTTTGCTCCCCTCTGTAATGTGTCGCCATAGTTAAAGTCCCCCATGATAAGGAGAAGGCTAGGGTTGAGCATCGCCGCGTTGTCTATTAAGGCTCTTAAGTTCCTTTGATTTAGTGGGCCACAGTTTGGGGATCTGTAGATACACCCGCCGATAAGTCCCTTCCCTTTAATTTAATTTTACACCACTTGGACTCTTCAAAAACACCCACTCCCTGTACCCTCAGCAAAGGCGGGAAATGTGACTGAAATCAACTTCATATTTTCCCGCCTCTGCTGACGGCTGTTCGCTGGAAAGTCTGTCACACTCATCCACCAATTTTCAGGGTCCGTGTAATATTTCAATGTGATTCTGATCTTTTAAAAAGTTAGTTTTTCCATACCCGGTAATGTAGTATTACTGATACGTAATTTGTCTTCGTATGTCTTATTGTGGATAAAAATAAGTATATATTAAATGCGTCCTCCGAAAGCATGAATTTGTTACCAGAGTTTAACAGTTAATTCATGTATAAGTTTTCTGATAAACTTCCTACGTGCTCCTGTTTGAAATAATGAATGTATGTATCTTTATATAATTTAGCTAAATATCTTTCTCGCCAGAAACTGGTATCCCAATGATTATGAATAAACTCATTTACAAATACATTATTACTGCTAAAGGAAATCGGACAGGTTTGCAAAAGCCAATCAGCTGTTACTCTTGAGGAGGGGGCGAAGCTGTACTTAAGACTGCCTACTGTACCACCAAAGACTATTAACATCATATAGTACATTACTTGGTTAAATATATTTTAGGTTATCAGAAGTAATTTATAATTTTATAAAAGCCATTAACTCAGTTTATAAACATTAACAACTCCACAGCGCATGTCACATCTCAGACCAATTGGTTGTCAACAAACTGAACAACGTGCTTGGCAGAGAAGCGTGATCGTAATTATGGACAATTAATACGTTATTAGTGATTGACAAATTGCTGATGCAGGTATGTATGTTTATTACAATATCAGTAACTTATTTTATATAGTTTAATAAAGCATTGAGTTCTTTTATGGGTATTTTGGCCTCTTATGTGTTGGCCAGGCTGACGTCTACCGTAGGGCCACTGCTTCAGGTTACTGCAGGAGTCTTGGGCCAGGATGCAGTCAATTTAAGACAGTAGCCAGGTTTCGAATTCCGTTATTTTATTGTTTGCAACCACATTACCTAACAAGACGAATTTCTTCTATGACACTGTGCACTGACGAGAAATAACGGAGATATGGCTAGTTAAAAAACCATAACATCCTCTTGAAGAGCTCTGTTCTCGACAATTTAGATTAGGTTAGCTCAGCAGGTTCTACCGGGTCCGACTAATTACCCAAATGTAGCCAAATGTAGTCGCAATGAAGTCAAATAATGGTCTTAGATGAATAAATCGGACTGCCAATCACTTCTCGACTAGTATTTGGTGTCACAAAGTCACAAAAAATTGGTAAACTTAATTTAATCTGAGTTAATAGATCGAGTGCATGTACCTAACCTAACCTAATCTAATCTAACCTAACCTAACCTAACCTCAACTAGTATTTGGTGTCACGAAGTAAAAAAAAATTGGTAAACTTAATTTAATCTGAGTTAATAGATCAAGTGCATGTACCTAACCTAACCTAATCTAATCTAACCTAACCTAACCTAACCTAACCTAACACAACTCAGATTAAATTAAGTTTACCAATTTTTTTTTACTTTATGACACCAAATAATAATCGAGAAGTGATTCACAGCCCGAATTACGCTTGTACGACCATCATTTGACTTCATTGTGGCTACAATTGGGTAATTCCTCTCTCCCTCGGTGCATGCGCGCGATGTATTAACTCAGATTAAAGTAAGTTTTCCAATTTTTTGTGACTTTCTGACACCAAATACTAGTCGAGAAATGATTGGCAGTCCGATTTATTCATCTAGGACCATTATTTGACTTCATTCCGGCTATATTTTGCTACATTTGGGTACATTTGGGTAATTAGTCGGACCGGGTTCTACCCTCTGATGGTCCAGCTTGCAGGTTCTTGGGGAGCTGGAGGAGGCTGCTGGGGAGGGTAGAGCTGCAGTTTAGGTGAAGACCACTGCTTAGAGTCGTGGTTCACCGACTCATTATTAGTATCATAACCTGAGACGGTTACAGAGGCAAGACCTGATAATTTATTGTATTTTTTTAGGTTAATGCAGCAGGACCACTTATATACGGGACAATTATGCACCCCAACACCTTTCTTAGACAACGGGACAATGCAATAAAATGAGGGACAATTATATATATATATATATATATATATGGCTAATATTGACGACTGTACCGCCGACGCATTATTTGTTTTGATGTTTGCGGTATAGACGTCAATATTATCCAGTTATGGCTAGGTTAGGTTAGTTTAAGGTTAGGTTAAGTTGAACTTTTAAATAAGTGCTTTTTAACAAATTTGCTATAACTACGTCAGTGTCCACTATAAATTACAGTGAAATATTGGTGTTTTTAAATTTGTTATTTATGAAAACTCAGTAGCGGGAAATTCGTCAACAATTACCATATACTGTACTGTACTCGTATATATACACACGAGGGTAATTCAATAAGTAATGAGACAAATGATAATAACTGCAGAAGTAACAATTTGTTATTAATGATCACATACCTATTTCTCCACATAATCTTCCTCAACAGCTATGCACTTAACTATTTATGAGTTTTCTTATTCTTGTGGCAAAAAAGTCTTTCCTCTGACTCCGTAACCAATTTCAGATCTTTTTCTTAACCTCTTTATTATTCAAAAATTGCTTTCCACATAAAGCTGTTTTGAGTGGACCAAACTTGTGGTAGTCTGATGGTGCCAGATCTAGACTGTATGCAGGGGGCACCAAGATGGTAAGGGAAATAAGGGCGGGAGGGAAAGTAAAAGGACATCCGGTATGCATAACCCCTTCACTCCAGGGATGCCACTTTTAATATTTTATTTCCTTAACACCAGACAATTTTATTCACTGAGAGGACCACATATAAGGGGTTAGGGGCAGGAGGAGGAGGAGAAGTAGGGGAACATCGGAACCTCAAAATACTGTAACATCTTTCTGACTGTACTGTATACGTGTTTGTCCACCCTACAGCTGCATAATGGAGTGCAGTACTGTATTATAAGTGGATCTACTGTAGATGTTATATTAACCTGTATCTTTATTTTCAGGGAACCATGAGTACAGTATCTCAGTCACCTCACGTGCGTAGTGTGCAGGTTTCTATGGGCTTTATTGTGGTCTCTCTTAGCTGGAGAGAAACCCAGCTGATGAACCGCCTCTTAAGACTTACACGTATTGAATATTCAGAAGGTGAGATAACTAACATGAGTAAGGAACTGGTTTTATTTTTAATCTCGTCATATATGATAAATTATGTCATAATAAAATTGCAAAAAATCTGAAAATCCATTAAAAATTTTGATACAGTAAATCGATTCAATACTTCATCTCTCATCATTATACAGTAAGTATTAGTATGCAATGTTCAAAAATTACTTAAGAATATGTGTTTTGCAGCTGGTGTACCGTGTTCATTTATTCAACGTAACTCTTAGCTTGACTTTCCTTGAATTTTATATACAATTTCTTCAGTATGCAAAGGAAATTGATTTGAGACATTGTAATTTAATGTGGAGGAAAAGAATTCATTTTGTGTAGAGTAGAGTATGAAAGATGAGGCTGTGAGCAATTACTGGTATGTGTGTGGGATATTTATGTTGGCTTAATATTTCTCTCTCATTTTCTACAATTGTTTTTCACAACTTTTCCCTATTATTATTTATGCTTTCTTTGAAGTTTCTATGCCTTTGATATTCCCTAATAAAAGTGTAAGAGGAGTAAAAATAATTCCCTGGAGATAGATAAATAGATAGACTGAGACTTTTGCAGATCTTGGAGTTGTCGACTTTTACCCAGCAACAGATATGGCAGTAATATTCATCAGTGAGGCGGATCTCTTGTCTGGTAGGTTGCCATACACCCCTTTACATTCTAGTTTGAGTTGAAGTATTGACAAAATGACACAGTATTTGTGTGTGGAATTGAATGGAGTACAGTATATTAAAGCTTCAATATAATGTTGTACACTGAATGGGGAACTAGCATGTGGGAGTTCTGAATTCTGGGAGTATTTTCAGGGTCATGAAATACAGTAACCTTCTTCATTGAATTTTAATTATACATCTGACAGTAAGTGAGTCTGTTTGGGGTTCATTAAACGTTAAGGCTCATTTCTCTGTGTCCGCATAAAAGTCAATTTAAATGGAGACTGAAGATGTAGCCCTAATATTGTGTCATAAAATCTGGGGTTGACTGTTGTCATGTTACCTAATTTTAGTGGAATATAAAGATTTCACCTTATACAGTAATACTTATGATGAATGTACCAATAAGTTGAGGCCATTAAAGCAAGGGCCTCCAATTAGGAGAAAATCTTACAATAGGAACCAAAATCTTTGATCATTCCTAAATGTGTCCCATAGGATGGCTGTACTGATAAGGTAATATGAGGACTGAAGGATGTTATAAGGACTATATTATGTGCTGTAATATTATGATGAAAAAAGTAAAAGAAGGCAATACTGTAATACCTTGTACTTGTAGGGAAACCATGTGATAAAAAATGGGTAAAAAACCAGTACTGTTTAAGTGGGATCAGGTGTAGAAGAAGATAATTTTTAATCTTTTTTGTGCTGAATACAATCGTCTGGCTTTAACCAAATAAGATATTAAAAGTGGGATCCTGTAATGAAGTGGTTAAAGTGATCAAAAAGAGTGGAGGAGTTATGTGTAGTTACTGTACTGTATAGTGATGTCAGCAGCACAAGGTGTGGAGTCCTCGACACTTGTAGAAATCTGTAAGTCGTCATTTTTTTTGGTAAGAAGGAGAGTCATGTTGGAGGATATAGGTAGGTGGAGATATATTTCCTCCACTTGTGTTTTCATTGTCTCAGTAATTGTAGTAATAATACAGTACTTACTTCCACTGTTCTCTCTTCATCACCTCTCTAACTCCGATCTGCTCCATCCTCATCTCCGCCATATTCTTTGTCTTTCTGCTGAGTAGCTTCGTCTATAAGGCCTTTCTCTCTTGCCATTATTTTGTCCTTTATTTATTGAACTAATAAGAAGTTCCTTACGATTACACTACTTCCAGGAAAGAGCTACAGAAGACGGATCGTCAAACTTCAACGCAGCAACAGAGGCATCAGAAGAATCGTCATTGGCCAGTGCACCATCAATACATTTGACCATGCCTGTGACCTGCAGAAGTATGTAGTAACCTGACTGTCACTCAGCATCTTCTTGTCATCTCTGACTGTTGTAATAGTCACTATTTGAAATAATAAAATGAGGCATGTTTGAATATTGTAATGTTGAGAGAATACATGGCAGATTGGGATGTTTAGGATGTAGGGAAGGAAAAAGTGTTTTTAATTAAGTGAAGGATGTATGATAGTGATATACGGTAGCCATGATAATCTATAATTTGCATATGATAACCTGTGATTGACTATGTTTGGCTATAATTACCTGTGAATGACTATGATTAGCTATAATAACCTGTGATTGACTATGATTGACTATAATAACCTGTGAATGACTATGATTGGCTATAATTACCTGTGATTGACTATGATTGGCTATAATTACCTGTGATTGACTATGATTGGCTATAATAACCTGTGAATGATTATGATTGGCTATTATAACCTGTGAATGATTATGATTACCTTTGATGACCTATGCTAGATTACAGTCAGCTTTGTTAACGACTAAGTTATTCAGGCACAATGACTAAGGTTCTGTGCAATGATTTTTAATTGTCTTTCTTTATATTTAACTTGAGGGCAAATTTTATAAGTCATTGATTATAAATTGTGTAAAAGAATGCCAAGCAAAGGAATGGATAAAATGAAAAAATGTACATGAACATATTTACAACAAAATTTTCAAACACAGAATTCTGATTAGTGTAAAGTTCTGTACAGTTAAGGTGAAATAAAAAAGTATGGCTGTTTCAGTGAGGCATTACTGTACCATCATTTGTGAATGTTTAATATAATTACAGGTATTTACTTAGGTTATGTAGGTGTGTTGTGGAGAGTAAGGCCTACTGTACACCTTTATGTTAAGATCTTCATGTAACTGTATAGTATGTTAGTGGTCAGGGTGATATTACTGTGAGTGGGTTAGTGGTGGCTTGAGGACTTATATTAAAAACTCTGTGTGTATTTTGTAAAGCTGCTAACTGTTGTCATTTTATGGATCATGATTGAAAAGTTTGAGAATGTTGTTTCCCCTTTTCTAGGTTTGTGTGTTTTGAGCTGGGTCTATCATTCATACCGGTTGACACTGTTGAGGAGGTAAGCTGGTTTTTTTTTTTTTTCAATGGTAGAATTTAACCTTAATAGTCAATCAGGCCAATGTTGAGTAACCTGTGATATTCTGGTACTGTACATTGAACTCCTTGTGAGAACTCTAACTGTTGTGGTATGGTAATCCCAATAGCAGACGGCATTACTCTTGCAGGTAATGTAGAGTAATTGCTGTAAAAATATCAGCCTGTGGATCCTAGTGAGGTGTCCATTAATGTAGTGGTTGTCTCTCGTGGCCAGTAAGTTGTTTAGGTGAAGAGTTTTAAGTCAAATAAATCCCAGCTCCTTTATGTATTCTTGAACCACATTAATGGCTTCTTCAGAGATATTGCATAGTTTTGACCCTCAAAATTCTTTAACTGGGATATTTTGTGTTTGTAGTGTTATCATATATACGGTACATGCTGTCATTGTTAGCCATTCTAAAGCATTAGTATACAACTTCACAATAGGAGTAAGGATTGAATTTAGATGTGGTTTGTAAAATGAATAATTGAGGGTAGATGAAAGAGTTTAAATTGGTTTATTGGTGATGCTGATCAACAGCTCATATTTGGTGCTGTATGATGTTGATTTGGTGTGAAGGAAGGCACCACTTTATGAGGCTGTGGTGATCATTCAGTATCATTAGTAGGATGGCCAGCTATCACTGACAATGAACCAGAGAGAAATAAAGGAGAGGAGTTCATATTTGTTGAGGAAAACAGGTTGGTGGATGATATTAAAGTAAAATCTGTGATAGAAATATAACTGGTATATACAATTTAACCAGGTGATGCTTAGTATAGGTACCGTACCTGCTGCTTCGAGGAGAACTGAATATTGTTACACTACCTTAAATGTTCCCATACTGTGTCTGCTGCCCTCAGGAGAACAAGATGTATTCTTACATAAAAAATACATTAATGTTGTACAAAATAAATCAACACTTACATAGTACCTGTACTGTACTGGAAGATGTACTGGTCATCTCTTTTTCACCACTGAAGATGCTAAACCAATGTGTAGATCTCTACACACCAAACTGATAGGAATACTGTACAGTAGATGAATTAGGTAAGTAAAATGTCAAAATAATACTATGAGAGTTGATCCATAGGAAAACACTGATGCAGTGTTATTACATTAGTTTTCCCAATTAAGTCTAGGAAGATTTATTACCAGTTTCATGACAATGCAGGAACTATAAAGGCAGAAATATGAACTTATTTTTAAGGCTGAAAAAGTTTGAATCTTGTGAATCTACATAAGAGCTGAACTCTCAACTGGCCCTTGAGTCAACCACCAGATCAAGCTGGATACTTGTTAACCTGGTTTAAATGGGTGAGAAAGTGTTGCCTGCAGCAAACCCTTTCCTACCTCGTCTCTCTGTAGAGCATATCCTGTTAGGTCAAGGCCCTCTGGTAGTAGGCCGACTGTGTTTTAGTGATATGAATCTTACAGGTCACTCATTGGTCACTTGTGGATTATAATTTTTGATTACCATACTAAGTACAGTAATTTAATAAATTAATTTGTATACTGGATTATCTAGCAAGTTGTTTTTCCCATTCAGTGTCAGTTATCGGTACAGTACAGAAGTAGGTAGGTATGTTGCTAGTTTTAACCTAGTGTTAGTTTTAAGTGTCAGCAAGTCTATGGGGTGAAAATTAGGTCTCCAGTGATCCAAAACTTGTGACTTTAGTACCTTTCCATAAATTGGTTGATGTAAACTGTGTTAGTACTTGCAGATGGTTGCTTCCAACCTCCCTTTGGATTAATTAATTGGGGAGTAAATACAATAATTAACTCGTTTAGACATTCGATTTTTTCACCAATCGCACATGACTAGAATTCATGGAAACTGGGGTTTCAACCCCATAGATTAATTTTGTAACATGTCTGATCTATGCTTGGATATAAACTGGAATTTCAGAATCAATCTATCATTTTAGAGAGAGTATTTTATGGGGCGATGTTAAGGAAGAATGGTGTAATGGAGAGTGAAATTAGAAAAGAACATGGGAGGAGGGACAAAGATCATACAGTACACAGATGGTCCATCCCTCATACAGAAGTGTGGTGCTCCTTGACTTGCAGTACTGTAGTGATATCCCCGCTAGCTGGAGCAATTGGTGCAGAGCACTTTTGGGAATGAGATATTTCCAGGTAATGAGACGACTCTCTCAATCCTGGAAAAAATCCTCCATCCCCATAATTTTTCCCGTACAGTACCGGGAAAATATGTATGGATTTTCAGGAAATTGTGCATTATTTCATCCCCTGAATTTCCTCCCAAACCCAGAAAAAAAGTTGGAGTGGGTATCTGGAATTTTATCAGAATTTACCAGAATGATGCACTATTTCATCTTGGAATTTGTTCCCACACCCTGAAAAAATTTGTAGAGAGTTTTGGAAATGTGCCTGATTTTCAACCTCGGAAGATTGTTCCCAAACCCGGAATTTTCCTGAAAAATTCTGAGCAAATTTCACCTGCTATCGGAGAGTTCCGGATAAGAGGGATTCTGGCTAATGAAGATATTACTTGTCATTTTGTTTGGTCCTTGAGATATATTAAAGAATACCTGTTGATTGAAAACATCCAAAGGAGGACCACCAAACTGGTGCCTGTAGTTAAGCATCTCATACTAAGAGAGATTAGGATGCCTTTAACTACCTGAAAGGAATTTACAGAGTCAAGACTTCATATCTGGAGCTAGTGGATGTCTCTCCATTAGAGGTCACAGCTTCAAGTTAAAGAAACCACAAGTACAGTACAAAAAAGTTGTCAGAGCTAACTTCTTTGGAGTAAGCATTGTGAACTCTTGGGATAACCTGCCAATGTGTTGTGATGGCACTGAGTGTGAACTTATTTAAAATCTAGACTTAGCCAGCACTGATCAGTACAGGTTTTAAAACAGTTGGAGGGAAAGATGGAACACATTAACTAGTGAAGAGGGATATAGAGGGGACATATAGTGATAGGGTGGTCTGGAGGCTCTTGTGCTATGGCCACCACCTCTGAGTTGAGCTCCTTGGTGGAGTAAGAAAGACAAATAGTCTGTTAAGACTACTCAATCTGATAGCATTCCTTCCTTAGCCTTCCATTGAGGTTCTTTAAGTGTTCTGGAAACTAAGGTGTTGGTCTTAATGTCCTGGTTTCCAGTTGAACCTAACAGTAAAGGATCAAGGAGTGTACATGTTATGGCAATCACTCTTAGGTTTCTCTATTAACAGGTTACCTTCATGCCAGGTACAGTACAGTAGAGGACATTCTGATTTTCGAATTCAGTTTATTTTTAGATTCCAGTCACAAATTCTGGCTCCACGAGAACTTGGTACTGTTTTCACTCTGTCGACTTATTGGTTATATACATTTCCTTCGTTAGAAAGCAGGATTTCAGGAGCAATCTTTTGTTTTTCTTGTGTTCAGGCAGCAGACCTACTTGCTGAGATGGTATCGTGCGAGACAAAGTTTCACTCCAATCCATTTTACGTGAAACCAAAGACAGCAAGTAACTCCAATGGAAGCTTATTGAAGACAGTCAGACTGATTCGTGGGTTGGGGGATGTAAGGTCCCGAAAACTTCTCCAGCACTTTCCGTCTATACAAGCAATAACCGCTGCTACACAAGAGAGTCTTGAGAAAGTAGTTGGAGTTGCAGTAGCATCATCTGTACACAATTTTTTTCATCAACCATTACTACTTTGAATTTTTTATTTTTGCATTTATCTTGTAAAACATTTTATATGGTGTTGAGGCATTTGTAACCTGTCATTGTATACAAATATTGTTCTATGATAAATAAAGCTCGTGAAAACTTATAATGTAGTTTATTTTTTCATATATCTTTCAGTAATACGTTGTTGTACCTCCAACTGCATTAAAGGCAGAATAACACATGCAAAGTTTTGCCAACGTTTCATTTCATTATCACATAACCATTTATAGGTACTGATACTGTAGTGTACTGTACTTTACTGTACTGTACTGAAGTGTCACAGCTGAGTAGAACATAAGAACTGTACAAGGGTTTATTTCTGTGGTGCCTTATTCACAATGGCTATGACTGAAAATGTTATAGCTTATGTATCATTGACGACTGACCTGTGCTTCACTACCTACTAGAACACCCTTAAACAGAGCCTACCATGGCCGGGAGGGTCTGGCTGTTAAGTGATAGCTTACACTGCCCATAGAAATATTTTCAAGGGGGGGAGACAGGTATTCTATGTAGGGGATTAGCTTTTACCTAACTTAACCTTCACTATTTAACCTCTCCCATTTCTAAGTTTGTTAGGTTAGGTTTTTTCTCTCCTGAAGATGAACCACCCTAATGCCAATGTACCCTAATCTAATCTAACTTAACTGCCCCAGGTAGTGTTAGGATGGTTACTCTTCAGGTGAATTAAGCTAACCATTCGGTATTCCCTCACTATCTCACCAGGCAGCTGTCCACCTCACCTCACTTCCTCACCAGGCAGCTGTCCACCTCACCTCACCTCACAGTATTCCCTCACTATCTCACCAGGCAGCTGTCCACCTCACCTCACAGTATTCCCTCACTTTCTCACCAGGCAGCTGTCCACCTCACCTCACAGTATTCCCTTACTACCTCACCAGGCAGCTGTCCACCTCACCTCACAGTATTCCCTCACTACCTCACCAGGCAGCTGTCCACCTCACCTCACAGTATTCCCTTACTACCTCACCAGGCAGCTGTCCACCTCACCTCACAGTATTCCCTCACTACCTCACCAGGCAGCTGTCCACCTCACCTCACAGTATTCCCCTCACCAACCCATAGCAATAAAGGAAGTTGCCAACTCTACTCTTTTATTAAAATCTTGCTAAATACAGCCATACATCCTGTATTATATGGTAAGTCTTGGTTGTTTTGAGATTACTAACTGCTGTTGGTTAATGCATATATTAGTTAGAGTTTCATTGTATTAATAAATATATTATCATAACTCAAACGATTATAAAGTTGGCAATGGTGTGTATCTTGACCGTGAAGTTGGCAGCACCATCCAGCCTCTCACCAGATCTTTGCTGTGGTCGAGTTTCTCTCGCCTATTACTGTTGTGACGATGCACTAATATGTCTTTACTTCCAAGACATTAACATAAGAGTGTTGTTGAAGTTTAGAGATTTGTTAATTATTATGTATTTTATGTCATTAATTCTGACCCACTCAAACTAGTTTTCTCATCTACTACAAGTCAGCAACTGCCTGGGTATGATGTTAGTGAACCTTATTAGCGCCCTGGTTACATAGACCCGACTGTATATGAGGGTATATTTCCTTATTATTTGAAGTTCTATTTACTAAAAGTATTATTTTTATTATTGGAACTGTAAATATGATGTTTGACTTTATTTTACTTTATATACTGTACGATGTTTTTCCCTATTTCAGTGAGAAAAGAGATGAATGAATCTTTCACCCTTCTTGTCTCACTTAGGTCTGTGATTAAGAGTCCATATGACCTGGTGAAGGTATATTGGCGTAAACAAGATTATCGGAGCCACTAACAGCCAGACTTCACGAGTAAATCAATTGGCTTCAGCTGAGTTGGAAGAGGATAAAAGGTTGGTGGCAGCTCGACTCGACAGGTCAAACAAACGGAGGGAAAGACGCTTAGTAATTGTCCATGTGTTGGCTCGTTCTATACAAGGACACAAACACTATGTAGGGGTAAGTATTTAATTTTTTTCTTGCTGCATTTGAAATATAATATCTCTATGATTATAAGTGTATGAAAGTACAAAACACATCTGGTACTTTCGTTATTGTAGTTGTGTTGATCAATGTTGCAAATATGACTTGTGTGTGTATGTGTTGTCGTGGTGTATGACGGACAGGCAGGAGGTTTAGGACGTCGAGTCATTAAAGAAACGAAAAACTTAAGCGTTGAAGTGTTTATGTTTTTTGTGACGCAGCAGAAAGCAGTTTTGTCTTAAGTGTTGACTGAAGGATCTTACTTCCTGGAGTCTTAAAAGATTCGTAATTGAATTTTATCCCTCGCAGCAAGGCAAATAGAGCAACATTTATATAATTACAAGTTAGTATCTGTGATGTCGACGCCCTCTTGGCCTCGACCCTTCGTCAGTCAGTCACCCAGTTACCATATATGGGAATAGTAAAGTGAGGACGTTTGTGAATCCGGGTGTTCATGTTGACGTGAATCCGTATTTATAGTAATTTGAGGATTTATTGTTTTCATATCCCCTGGTGTGAGGAGAGGAGTGAGGGAGGGAGGTTGCGTGATGGAAGGAGGAAGAGGGAGGGAATGGAAGGCGGAGGGACGGAGGGAGGCTGAGGAAGGGAGGTAGGGAATGGAAGGCTGAGGGAAAGAGGGAGGGAATGGAAGGCTGAGGGATGGAGGGAGGGAATGGAAGACTGAGGGAAAGAGGGAGGGAAGGAATTGAAGGCTGAGGGATGGAAGGAGGCTGGGGGAGGGAGGGAGGGAGAGCAGAGTCAAGTTCACTATGTAAATAATGGTGAAGATGAGAAACACATGTTTCCTGTACCACTAGTAGTTGTTTGATCACACACACACACCACGGTCCTCACCACAACAATGTCACACTTAAAGCCGTAGTTGATTTTTTTTTTTATTATTATTTATTGGGCACTCCCCTACATCCTTGTAAGGTGAAGCGCAGAAGCGTTTACAGCTCCCAACAGGGAAGCATGCTAAGTTCATGCTTGCCTTTATGTCTCATGAGTTAAGAGCGTAGTCGTAGTTGATGTGTTGTGGGATCGCGCCAGGGGTCATCAATACGTCAGTAGGGTGAGAGGGTTGGTGGGGTGAGAGGGTTGGTGGGGTGAGAGGGTTGGTGTTATGGGGTAGTTAAGTATTCTTCCCTCTCATTATTTGTCTCGTGATGGTCCTCCAACCTTCCCTCCCTCTTTCCCTTCCTCCCTCTTTTTATTTCCCTTCCTCCCCTCAGTATGGCCCCCTCCCTCATTATGGCCCCCTCCCTCCCCAAAGCACCATCGTCCACTACTACACACAATCTTCTTCTTTACTACATATTGTATCTACACGGTAATCAAACCTGACGCCCACGTATGTATTTCTTTCTCCTTCTGTCTCTTTCTTTCTCCTTCTGTCTCTTTCTTTCTTTCGTTCTTTTTACGTCTTTTATTTTTTTTCATCTGTTTTTTATAAATTTGAGGACTAAAGGTTTTAACCATAATCCTCAGTGGGTTTAGGTGTGTGTGTGTGTGTGTGTGTGTGTGTGTGTTGGCCAGACACGCACACACATTTATCACACACTAAGTCTGTTGATTGTCACTAGATTAACTTTTTGCACCTACCCTCTCTCTCTCTCTCTCTCTCTCTCTCTCTCTCTCTCTCTCTCTCTCTCTCTCTCTCTCTCTCTCTCTCTCTCTCTCTCTCTCTCTCTCCTCCTCCTCCTCCTCCTCCCTCCTCCTCTCCTCCTCCTCGCTTTTCTTTCTTTCGTTCTCTTTATCTCTCTAGTCTCTATGACACACAAACAAATACACACTCACTCTTTTCTCACACACACACATTAGCATACACTTTATTTCTCTGTCACACACGCACACACACACAGCCTCGTCAGATGAGACACGACAACATCTTCACTACAACACAAAATGTCTCTTGAGAATATCGTTCCATTTCTTTGTTGTTTTTGTTCTCAGTTACGACAAAAAAAAACCTTCCGAATTTCTCAGTGTGAAACTTTTACTCCCCCTTCCCCCACATTACCCCTCTCCCCACATTACCTCTCTCCCCACATTACCTCTCTCCCCACATTACCTCTCTCCCCACATTACCTCTCTCCCCACATTACCTCTCTCCCCACATTACCTCTCTCCCCACATTACCTCTCTCCCCACTGTTGCCAACTCCCACAGCCTGTAGACAAAGTCGCTTAAGGTAACTTGCTAAAAAAATCGCTTAATTTAACTTGAAATCAACTCAGTCTCGGTTTAGAGGTCGTAGGTAAATTGTCTAAGTTATTTCAAATCGTTAATGTTAAAATTGATTCAAATTAACCGAGATTTGAAAATTAACCCACTCAGACTCGATAAAATTAATTAAAATCACTCGAAAAAATCACTTAAATTTATCTATCATCCTGAAAAAAAAAATCACAGAAGCTACTAAAGGGATGAAACCTGTTGGATGAGGTGATTTTTTTCCTCTTGAATTGGCAACACTGATCTACTTGTCGGCAGCGTGTGTAAGTAAACAAAGGCGACTCGTGATCCTTCTGTTGTCATTGGTCCTGTACTTGTGTAGTTAAGTGAACCCCATTCCTAATAGAACCCAGTACTCTTAGGCTCCATTCCTAAAAGAACCCAGTACTCATGGGCCCCATTCCTAATAGAAGTCAATGGAGCCCAGTTTTCAAAGGTCCCTCCAGATCGTAATGGCTAGATTTATTTGGGGCCCACACGAACAAAGAGGGCCCATTTGTCCAGCAGCTGGGGGACTGACTTTTCATGATAAATAAAGCGATGATTCTGGTCCATGTACAGCCACTCATAAAAAAAATATGTATACCAATTTGTGTTGAAAAAATATGACACAACGACGAAGGATTTTGACAACTCTACCGAGACGACAGGAGTCACAGTGGTCCTTCTGTACAGTAACTGAGTGAACGATGCCTCCAGACAGTAAAAAGGGGGGGGGGGGATTTTGTCCTGTGAAATTTTTGTCGGTGTCGTAAAAGAAGTGGAGGCGTGGCGAGGTGGGCTGGGTGGTGGGCTGGGCTGGGTGGGGTTGGCGCATGTCATCACCACCCGCGGCCAACGTTTAGTCTCCCACTCGGCCCACGTCTCTCTCTCTCTCTCTCTCTCTCTCTCTCTCTCTCTCTCTCTCTCTCTAAAAAATAATGCTTAATGCCGGAACCCCCCTCATCCCTCTCACACACACACACCGACCGACTTTTTCACAGGATAAAAATCAAAATAGCGTTAAAAAGATGCCTGAAGCCTGGGGTCTCTTGGCTTAACCTCCTTTACGACTGAGGTGAAGAGTGAGGGAGGAAGCCAGAGGAAGCCACACCACACAGTTAACACCTCCTGCCTCGTCTCCTCCTCCCCTGACTAACACGTAACACCACCTCTTATCATAACACCAGTTTAACACCATCTCTCGTCCCTGATGGCTCGTTTACTGTGTTTAGATTCTCGTGTTAATGAAAGAAATTAAACTCGTTTGGCTGTTTAGCTCTGCGCCAAGAAATAAAATAGGTTCTCATTTGAGTGTGTTTAGTTTTTCCGCCAAGAAGTAAAATAGATTCTCATTTGACTGTCTAGCCCCCGTCCCAGCGTATTTTACCTGAAGATAGAACACCCTAAGCGCTCCCTTGGGGGGTTAGGTTAGGTTCGAAGAAGACAAAATAAGAAAGAAAAGAGCTAGAAGAAACAGGACAAAGAGGAGGAATGAGATCAAAGCTTTCATATTATATTCAGATCTTCCTTCTCAAGTTGCTTTTTAAAACTGTTACGTATGCATACATGTTGTGTTGGTTAGGTTAGGTTAGTTTAGGTAGGTTTAGGTTAGGTTTGGTAGGGTTAGATTAGGTCAGGTTATGTTTGGGTCGTGGTAGAGGTGATGGTAATGATGGTGGTTGTGATGCTCGTTGGTGGGTTAGTGGTGATTATGGTGGGTTAGTGGTGATTGTGGTGGGTTAGTGGTGATTGTGGTAAAGGTGACAGTATATAATGGTGAGGGGAACTTGACCTGTTGAGGCTGTGAGAGACGCGACAAATGACAACATAAAGAGCAATTATGTCCTCATGCTCCACCTCCCTCACATCTGGCCTGTGTGTGTGTGTGTGTGTGTGTGTACAACTTCACTTGATCAGTTTGAGCTGCATCATTGGCTGGTACTGTAGTAAGACGTTGTTCATCTCGTCCTCCATCCATCCATTTATTCATCTATCTATCCATCCAGGCAGGCAGGTTGGGGTGCTACAGGGTTACAGGTGAACTCTCATGACCTACAGCTCAACAACCTCAGTTCTTGGGTGAAGTGACATCGACTGTATAACTGTGACTGTGTTTGTCCTGACTGTCATGTGTTTCCAGTTCTTGGCACGTAGAACTGTCCATGAAGCTGTGCCATCCCGCCCATGACTGGTAGCTACTGAATGAAATAGGATTCCTTTACAACATTTCATAGTCGGAACGTAAATATTCCCTAGGTGAGGAAGTGGTTGGTATCCTTCCCGAAGTCGTGTTTCAGTACCTCGGCCGTTCCAGAGTCTCAACGTTGCACAACGGAGTCACATCCTGGTAGGGCGTGAGCGACCAACATGTGAGAAACAGCGAGTGAGTGACCTTGTTTGTGTCAGCTGCTGTGTTGATGTCATTGATCTTCTCTCTGTCTCTCTGGATGTTGCCTCTGTCGTCATTGTGCATGTCAGTTTGTCTTCTCAGATAACACAGCAGAGGAGGAACACAAGCAGGTCTATGTGTTTCCGTCTGCTGTGACGTTTATTAGGGAGTGTCTGCTGTGGCCTCCCCCGTCTGTGACTACCATCTGCTGTGGTCTCTGTGGCCACCATCTGCTGTACGCTGGCCACGTCATCCCCTGCTGCTGCTAATGGGCTAATATACCAAGTGTTGTTGTCTGATAAAACTCTTAGTCATTGTTGATGTGATCAGTATTGTGTCATGTCCTCTCACCACTAACTGATCCTTCAATAAACACACCTCTCCTTCCTGTCCTCCTGCCGCATCGAGAATTACGTGACTTACCTGTAGTGGTGGGCGTAGACGGGATAACTATAGCCTCTGGCGGGTCCAAGTGTCAACCAGAGCTTCACACAGACATTTCCATAATCTAACGTAACCTAACCATAACCTAACCTAATCGTAACCCTAATCTAACTGAAAAACATATTAGCGCCTGCAGGAAAATTTATATGGTAAGTCTGAAGGAAAAAACCCCTTCTTCCCCTTTCTCTCCACCTCCCCTTTTCCCTCTTTCATCCCCCTTTCTACCCTACCCCTTCCCTCCCCCTTTCTACCCTACCCCTTCCCTCCCCTCCCCCTCAACCTTCTCCTTTCCCTCCCCCTCCTCCTTCCCTCTCCCTCCTCCTTCGCCGCCTACGCCCGTGCCTACACCGAGTTGGTAGTTATACTTACTGTCACAACAACTCTTTCTGGAGGATGACGTCTGATGCTCTGAAGGATGACGTCTGAAGGATGACGTCTGGGATTATTTATTTATTTTAGCGCCATTATGATGTTATGATCTTGATGAAATAATTTTAATGGTGATTTAAAGGTGTTTGGTGACGTGTACTGTACTGGTCTAGAGGTGAAGTGCGTTGTACTTGTTACTGTGGGTCATCCCCTTGACCTAGTTCTTCAAGGTCAGGTGACACATGGCACCATAGGACGTCCACATGACACCATTAGTACACTGTATATAAATGGAAGGTCCAATACCATCACGGCTGGTTAGGTTAGGATGGGTTATGTTAGGTTGGGTTTGGTCAGGTTGGGTTGGGTTTAGATTTTGTGGAATCACAGAAAATGCTGATCAAATGTTGCGATGTTCAAAGTGGAGGAAGGTAACCTAACCTAACCTCCTTGGATGACCTGACACGGTTGGCTACAAGAGGTAAACAAAGCTCACCCCTCAAAATTGTTTGTTTATTTAGGAGAGTTTATGGTTTTGCACTTTATTGTTATTGTAAATATTTAGCAACGTCAGAAAATTAATTTTTGGGAACAAAATTCTGCAAAAATCGGGACATAATTATAGTTAAACATGAACTCATCTATACTTGAGTGTTATATCAGATTTTCCAACCAAGTGGTGTTTTTCTTGTGTGGTGTCTAGGACTATCACGTCCATGTGTAGCCTATAGGGATTTGCGCCTGCGTTTGGTCTTGTTTGTTTATGTCATGACCGCCTAGTTGTTTATGTCATGACCTCCTAGTAGTGAAAGCAGTGACCTACTCCTTATTCCCGAGCGCCAGAACACAACATGGTCAAGGGCTAATAGCTAAAGAGTAATACCGGGTAGTTGGTTGTCCTTTGCTTTTTTACAGTTAAAATACTTTAGTTTCGGGAATATTTATAAGTAAAAAGATAAGTTTTCCCCCCAGGAGACAGGTTGAGGTGGAGGGACGGAAGGATGAAGGGTGGTGGGCGGAGAGGGGGGCGATGGGCGGGGCGGTATAGCGGCGTTGAACACAGCTGACAGGCAGCAGAAGGGCGGCGGGTAGCGGCAGTCACGCGCGCTACCCCACCACCACACTCACTGCGCTCTCCCACCCACACACCCGGAACTCACTCACTCACTCGACACACACACACACATACACACACTCTCACTCTTCCATCTGCTTGCAGGCAAACCACAACCACAAGTCTTCTCTCTCTTACCCCGACACATTCTCCCGTGAGTGCTAATCAAATAAGACGTGTTTAAAAGACTTACCGCACGGGGCTTTGGTAACAAAACACAAGAGATCCAGTGACTTAACCCTCGTCCGGTGGTGTTGATCGTTTACACTCCCCAAAGAGCATTACCATAACCTACTAGTGCGCCCCCGTCAAGAATATAAACCAAACGATATATTATTACAAGGAAACTGAGAAGCTGAAGCAAGGAAACACCCCTGTATACTTCACCTCACCCCCACGACCATAGTGTGCGTGTGTGTGTGTGTGTGTGTGTGTGTGTGTGTGTGTGTGTGTGTGTGTGTGTATCAAGAACTTATTAAAGAAATACCAAAAAACCTGTTGGCCACGATGTTATGATGAACTGTTAAGTGTGTTGACGCAGCGGGGAAGATCTCTGTATTACCCAGGGGTCTCTGTGTCACCCAGGAGGACTTGAGTAAGGTGAGTGTGTTGTGTGTCACCTAGGAAGGGTTAAGGTGTCGTGTGTCACCTAGGAAGGGTTAAGGTGTCGTGTTTCACCTAGGATGGATTAAGGTCTCTTTTGTGTCACCTAGGATGGATTAAGGTCTCTTGTGTGTCACCTCGGAAGGTTTAAGGTCTCTTGTGTGTCACATAGGAAGGGTTAAGGTCTCTTGTGTGTTACCTAGGAAGGGTTAAGGTCTCTTGTGTGTCACCTAGGAAGGGTTAAGGTCTCTTGTGTGTCACCTAGGAAGGGTTAAGGTCTCTTGTGTGTCACCTAGGAAGGGTTAAGGCCTCTTTTGTGTCACATAGGAAGGGTTAAGGCCTCTTGTGTGTCACTTAGGAAAGCCTAAGATCTTGTTTATAGCTTTATTGTGTGACCCTGAAGTATTGAGTGTAATATTGTTGCTGTGTGTGTGTGTGTGTGTGGGCGTCAGTTTCCACTCGGCTTCACAATAGCTTAGGAGTGAGTGAATGTGTGTCTGTCATCACTTGTCCACACCTCTTGTTACTTGCTTGTCTGTCTCCACACCATTTGTTCCGAGAGAGAGAGAATAAATGGGGTTCTTTTATTTCTATCTATAACACACACATACACACACACACTATGGTCCTGATACCAAACGATTAGTTGTAATTGTACTTTTATCATTACTTTAGGCTGCAGTGTATTAGGATGCCCTGGTGGTTGACCCCGGCAATGGAGGACAGCGGCGAGCGTTAAAGGAATCAAGAGAGGGTAGTGAACAGTAGGCAGCTGGGGGGATGGCCTGTGTCGCCTCCTAACCTAACCTATAACTAATTTAAGTTAACTTGAATTAAGGTTAACCAGAAAGTGATTTTTGCACGCACAGAAACTGCCTTGAAGTCTACGGATATTATGTGTATCATTTATAGAGTTAAGTGACTATAGATATTCCGCATTATATTCAAATTTATAAGGAAATGAACCGGAAGTAACGCCAACAAAGAAAATGAACCGGAAGTGACGTGTACAGGTGTCCAAGTTGAGACAGGTGTGGTAATGTGAAGACAGGTGACGATAATCTGATGGAAGAAGGGAAGTCAGAATCTGCCCTTGACTCTGACGTCCGTAGTTACTAGTAGTGGGTGGTTTGATGGGTGGTGTAGTGGGTGGTTTGATGGGTGGTGTAGTGGGTGGTTTGATGGGTGGTGTAGTGGGTGGTTTGATGGGTGGTGTAGTGGGTGGTTTGATGGGTGGTGTAGTGGGTGGTTTGATGGGTGGTGTAGTGGGTGGTTTGATGGGTGGTGTAGTGGGTGGCTGCAGTGGGCGGCTGTAATGGGTGGCTGTATTGATGGTGTTGGTGAGTAAATATAAACACCTTTTCACGTGTGTGTGTGTGTGGTTCTTCAAACATCTGGAGACATACAGAGAGAGAGAGAGAGAGAGAGAGAGAGAGAGAGAGAGAGAGAGAGAGAGATTTTAGTTAACAAATTTAGAGAGGTCGGCTGTCGCGTGGTGGGCCTGTTTGTTTACACTGAGTCGAGGAGGGGCGGGGGCGGGCTGGCAGGCGGGGGCGGGGGGGGACGACACTTTCATCCTCACCCTCACACACACTTGTACTAGCACTTATCACAGCTTAGGGTAACACTTTGTCTTTATTCACCTGGCGATGGTCTTAGGTATGGATCAGTAGGGGATAAAATCATGGTTGGTTCGTCAAATGACATGTAATTCCAAAGTTGTTTCTGAGTTCGTACCGCTGCTCAATGGCCTCCTGCCCCCCCAGCTAGTGATATGTGGTTGAAGGTTCCTTGTGAGTGTATTTGCTGAGGTCATCGCCGTCGTTTAATTGGAGAAGACTTTTGAGCCTAAGGGTGTGACTTGGCCTGAAGGGGAGGAGGATCTATTAAGGGCTGGGAAGGTCTTCGTCAGATCAGTAAGTGTGGGAAATCGTCCATAGCTGCGAGAGTAATTCAGGTAAAAATGTTTGTTGATGTTAAATGAGCTTAACCTAATCTGATCTAACTGTACATTAACCTAACGTACCGTAACCTAACCTAACTTAAATTACCTTAATCTAATCTTTTCTTTACTATAATTATGACTTTTACCGGGTGAAGGTGTGTGTGTGTGTGTGTGTATGTATGTGTGTGTGTGTGTGTGTGTGTGCGTGTGTGTGTGTGTGCGTGTGCGTGTGTGTGTGTGTGTGTGCGCCTAGACTCCAGTTATTGTCATGTGCACAGCAACAACATGGCCCTAACCTAACCACCACCATGTTAAAAAAAAAACAAGTGTGTATTTTTCTTCCCGTTCATCTCGCAGCTCTTCCACCTTTATCGCCGTCAGTTGCGAGTCTCCTGAGTAGTGTCACGTCCTTCACTCCGCTCTTTACATCGTCAGAGCTTCACCATAATCCATCTCGAGGGACTACAGAACCAAGACATTTCATGAGTGTGGATCAAACTTACGGACACACACACACACACTGGTACACACTCATCCCTGTTATCACACACACACACACACACTGGTACACACTCATCCCTGTTATCACACACACACACACTGGTACACACTCATCCCTGTTATCACACACACACACACTGGTACACACTCATCCCTGTTATCACACACACACGAGCGGGTCCAGAGAGAGAGGCTGGTGTGTGGGGAAGTATCTTTATGCTATCATCAGTGTCAGGCAGAAGGGGCGGCAGCTGCTGGGGTTGGCGGCCATCAAACATTTATCTGATGCCATTACGTGGGGAGGAAATATTGCTGAAGTGTGTCGGGGAGAGGAGGTGATGAGGGGAGAGAGGGGGTGATGAGGGAGAGAGCGGGTGATGAGGGGAGAGGGGTGATGAGGGGGGTGATGAGGGGAGAGAGCGGGTGATGAGAGTGGGTGAGAGGAGAGGGGTGATGAGGGGAGAGAGGGGGTGATGAGGGAGAGAGGGTGATGAGGGGAGAGAGGGGTGATGGGGAGAGGGGTGATGAGGGGAGAGGGGTGATGAGGGGAGAGAGAGGGGGTGATGAGGGGAGAGAGAGGGTGATGAGGGGAGAGAGGGGGTGATGAGGGGAGAGAGAGGGTGATGAGGGGAGAGAGGGGGTGATGAGGGGAGAGAGAGGGTGATGAGGGGAGAGAGAGGGTGATGAGGGGAGCAGTATTGTAAACGATCACTATCTCTTTGAGTAGCCTGGCCCAACACCCTCATGTGTCTCGTAGGCTACAGCAGCTACATGTATCGTGGTTTATGTAGACCATTTAAACTACACATATATGTAGGCTTTATCAACTACAGTATCTACGTCGTGGTTGTGGTAGTATATGTAGGTCCTACCTGGTTCGTAAAAAATATACGAAAGTAACCACACACACACACACACACATGGGTAGTACAATGTTATCACAATTACCATCTTACTTTTTCTTACCTTAGGTTCAATACCAATGTGGGTGTGATGTGAGAAGGGTGTCATCCAGCAAGTTTTCTCCAGGTACAGTACTGCAGTTTCCTCCTGTACTATCACTGGAGCCCTGGTGGATGACCCTAACCTAACCAAATCTAACCAAGCAGTTATGGATAATTAAAACTAGCCAGTACACATACACCAACCTAAAAACAAAAAACAAAAACAGCAAGGCGAGGCTGGGTAGAGGCTCACCTATCATCATCACTTAAAAGTTGGTGATCTCATCAGAGCTCTCATGACTGTGGGAGTAAGACGGTGATTGGTGCGTAGTTCTCATGGCACAGTATACGGTGTTGGCACGATACTCTGTTTCAAACCTGTGCGTGTGTGTGTATAGTACTGTTGAATGTGTCTATGGAAAAGTCATCGTCATGGTAATTTAAACACATAACAAAAACATCATAATTTTACCTTTGAACTCTTACCTTTATGGGAGAGCCAGGAGAGAGAGAGAGAGAGAGAGTGTGTGTGTGTGTGTGTGTGTGTGCGTGTGCGTGTGTGTGTGTGTGTGTGTGTGTGTGTGTGTGTGTGTTCATCATTATTGTTGTTTGGGTTCATTTCGAGTCATTTTTTTTTTAGTTCATGTATCTTAATTAAGTCATTGACCTTCAGTGACCTTCAGACACACGAGCTAGGCCTCAACACCTCTATGTTACTGCCAGATATCAACCTCCTTGGCTGGCCCTCATGGTACTTCTATGCTGGTCAGATAAACAAAGGGACACCTGTTTTGTTGTTAAGGCTGGCAGTAATGAAACAATTGGTACTCACTTAAATCCTCTTACAAGATTATCATTGACTTGGTATGTACACAGACTAGAAGTATACAAATAAACAATGTACATAGGCAGACAGTGCAGGTGTACAAACAGTGTACATAGTCTGCAGGTATAACAGTGTACATAGCCTGCAGGTATACAAACAGTGTACATAGTCTGCAGGTATACAAACAGTGTACATAGCCTGCAGGTATACAAACAGTGTACATAGTCTGCAGGTATACAAACAGTGTACATAGTCTGCAGGTATACAAACAGTGTACATAGTCTGCAGGTATACAAACAGTGTACATAGTCTGCAGGTATACAAACAGTGTACATAGTCTGCAGGTATACAAACAGTGTACATAGTCTGCAGGTATACAAACAATGGTAAATAATATACTCTCAATTCGACTGAGAACGATTTAATAAAACCATCATTTGTTTATTACTTCACCAATCCAACTCACAGTTTCTCTTCCCTGATGATAAACAAACACAACACTGCACTCGAGTCACCTGTCAACATAACCCGAACTATGATTTTTTTTTTTAATTATGACCTTGACTTTTAACCTTTTCACCCCTAAAACACAACAGTTGTAGGGGTGAATAAGTAAGCAGAGTGTGTATGTTGTAGTTTTTAATGTTCCTGGGTTATATTGAGGAAATGTTATTCTGGCCCTACAAGGAATAATGAGTGTTGTGAGAGAGAGAGAGAGAGAGAGAGAGATTATTACTGGGTGTTAATGCGTGTTTATCAGTATTGGTAAATGTATACATGTGTTCATGTGTGTGTGTGTGTGTGTTAGTATTCATGGGTGGTGGTGGGCGTGAGTGGGCGTGAGGGCGGTGTTAGGGTCTCTGGGGAAGCTCTTAGTGAAGTAGGGTGAGGCGGACACCACGAGTTAAGATGCTCGTCACGTCTCACTAAGAAAAGCAAGAGACAGAGTAAGTGAACGTTCGGACCCCCAGTCTCACAAGATCGTAACAGAACGTATGAGAATGTTCCTGACTGCTTGACTTAATATAGACTAACACAACGACCAAAAAATAACATGGAAATTTGCAGTAAGATTTCCGTAACTAGAAACTGTACATTGATTTAGCACCAGACACACTTAAAGGCCTTTGTGAAACATTCTGTACCGTGATTTCATGTCCTGGCTGTGCTTGTGTTTGTACCTGTACTTAATGGCTTCTGGTGTTTGGACAAAACATAATCTGTGAGAATGTTGTCAAAACTTGTTACCACTGACGTCCAAGAGGCTACTGGGTTCTGGTGGGGTTTGTTGTCTCTCTTGTTCAATGTTGAGTTATATTTATTTGTTTTGTGTTTGTTTCTTTCATTTTTGTAAAGTGAATAAGATTAAGTACAGTAGTTACATATACTGTACTGGGGTCGGTGACAGGCAGCGGCCACGTGTTATGAGGTATAGTGTGTATGAGATTATGAAAATGTGTTTTTGTTTACAGAATACAGCATGGTAGAGCCCGTCGGAGCTATGGCAATGTTTGTGTTGCGGCTGGCGGGGCTGCTGTCTCTCGAGAACGCCATCAAGGAGCAGGAGGCCAACCTCACCCACCAGGCCCTCAACTTCACCAGTCTGGGCTTCACTCCAGACACCTCTAATTACACGTGGTCGTCACCACAGGTGCAGCCTCCAAAGGTCAACTCCACCACCCCGAGCAGTGACGACAGCGAGCTACCATCTATGGCAGCCTCTCAACTTGGCGTCACTACACCTGCTTCTGTAGATAACTTCCTTAATCCTACACCTACTGTAGTATCACACTATATTAATATTAAACAACCGCCAAAAATAAATGAGTCTCCAAATTACGCATCAGCGGCGCCAGGCACCTTCACCAGTTATAATAGGAAAAATATAGTGGACGGAGACATAACAGACGATTCAATAGAGTTGTTACCCAGAGCGAGTCCTCTGTCTGACACGAGAGATTTTAATGAAGGAAGCGATATACAGCCATATGGCTCTCAGCCTGTTGAGCACACTGAGCTACAGGTAAGGAAACCTGAGGAGGAGGCGGGAGGGCGTGAGAGAGAAGAAATTGTAGTGCAGAAGGTACAGGGAAGTGTCAAAAGCAGTGCTGATAGTGGAGAGGATGGCAGAGGAGGAACCTTGATGGGGCCTGGCGAGGATTCCCCAGCTTTCGTAAGGATACAAATAGACACAGGAGAGGATCCTCGTGCAGCTGAAGGAACTCTCAGAATAAGTGTTGTGACTTACAGCCCAGGACCAGAAGACTTTCCACAAGTCGACAGGGGGGCAGTCAGGGGTGGTGATCTGGTGACTCTCTCCTCAGCTGTTACAACATCTACACCTACACCCATGCCCACACTCCCACCAACACTCTCACCACCCACTCTCCCACCAACACCCACACCACCCACACTTCCACCAACACCCACATCGCCCACACAATCACATCCCCGCCTTGAGGCTCTTATTGAAGAAGACGACGTGTCAGGCCTCATCGATGCCCCTAAGCTTGCAGGTCTAGAAGCACCCTCCGAGAACTTCGTTGACAGTGACTTCGAGTACTATGACTTCGGCACTCAGTACCAAACAATGACTCCCAACCCAACTTTGTCTTCCCTGAGCCTGGTAAGCGCCGTGCCTGTCAGAGTGCCCGCCAGGCCCCCAGAGCCCCGTAGAAAACCACAAATGAGGAAACCTGCCCCTGGTAGACCACGGAAGGTCCCTCCAGTGAGACCTATACCCCCGATTCCCCCTGTACCCCCTGCTCAACCCCAGAGACCCGTGGTGAGGAACAATCCCTACCCTTACGGCCCCTTACGTCTGCCAGGACCATACTCACCCATCGGCCCCAACCTGCCCCCAACCAGGGACACCAGCGAGGAGCGGGTCGTGACCGAGTACAACTACGAAGAGGATTACTACTATGACCTTGAGGACAACGTGGAGGCCAAGTATGAGGTGCAGACGAAGGAGCCTCCTGTCCTCTTTGTGTTCGACAGACCTGGCTACTCTCCGGAACCTCCCACCACCATGGTCCCTCCCACGTGAGTTACCCTGCCCTCTTACTCACCCATCTTAGTGACACGTCATTGTTACTCAGGAGTGCCACTTATCCCCATTAATTTCTATTGCTGTTAGTTACTTCCATCATTTACTACTGTTATTTCTCAGCCGACTTCCACGCATTCAGCTGATGGTCGTCTTCCCCATAATGAGGTGATCCTCTGCCATCACTGTACCGACTCCTGAACAATATTTTTTAACAAAGCCTCATGATCATTACCCAGTGGTTTACGATGGATCTGTGAATAGGTCGTACATTTTCTCATAGGATTTACTACGTGTATAATATATTATTGCAGCTTCATGTTGTGGGTTTTTAAGAGCGTATATTATGTGCATACATTTTTCATAAAAAATTCAAATTAAGAGATATCGTGTGATCGTAAATCCAGCCCCTGGTTGGTCTCCGGGTGGAAGGTAAATAAATAAAAGACACGAGCGGAGCTGGGCAGGGGTGGATCTGACTGGCATCTCACTGCCCTGCTCTCAGTCCTCTATAACACAGCACTAAACACCTTTAATGGTGATAGAAATACACCAGCCTCAGTGTACACACTTAATTGAAAACACAGGCCAAGTTTGAGTATCACTTAGTCAGTAAAACAGTGTGGGGGGGTGAGGGGTTTTTTGATAATGGCTAGGCTAGGCTGTGTGACCCGCCTCTGTCCGTGACTGACACTCAGACACTCACCCCTTTTGATCTCTGCACCAGACACACTCACCACTCATTACACCCACTGATGGATTTAACATCATTTATCGTAATTGACGATGAGGCAAATCGGTGAGACGTTGTATAGGATTAGAAGGTATATACTTTTTCTCCTTATGTAAACTTGTGGAGGACGGATCATGGGTGGCATATTAACACAAGATGAATGTGATTGTGTTGTAACTCAAGGCTCAAGCCACGTATCTCTCATCTGGCGTGTGACAGTGAACACGAGACATTTACCAATACAGCACAGTACACAACACACAATATAAAGTTGTTATGGCCATTATGAATAAGTGTTGGCATTATAATTATCATCATATAGAGTTGCAATAACATAAACACATTTCATTGATCTATTATATTGAACTTATGTGTTGAGGTGCGGTAAAATAATACTTTATGACAACATCACCAGTGGCATGATAAATTATGTCAGATGACAATGGCACATGTCTGATGCCAGACCTGTGTGTTTTAACTCATCAGTTCCTGTTGTAGTTATGTGTCTGACTCATTAGATGTATGTTTGCTGTCAACTGTGTTTTATGTGAGGCGGTGTGCCTCGGGTCTAACCTGGGGCAGGTCTCCGTACCACTGGCACTGGGTAGCATTGTCAGTTTTTCTCTCTGAATTCACTAATAACCACACAGGTGGGTAGCTGTATCGTTGTATAACAAAAGATAACTCACTACCACAGTGTACAGTACAGATATCAGTTAGTGATGCACCTGTACTGTTTGTCAAAGGCAACGTGACGTTACCATATAAAAACAAAAAAGACTTAACTATCAGCTAGCATCTGCTAATATAAACTATTTACCCTAACCTGGTACAGTAATGGATCCGATAAGCCCTATGGCCTGTTAGTGACACTTTTAATACACCACTGTACAAGGAGGCACCTTGGCTGTTATACTGTTCAGGCTCAACCATTTTCACTCTCCAACTATAAAGTTAGGTAAATATTTACAGTTCGGTCGACCAAAAGCTCCCTAGGATCGAATCAACGTATCTTAGGACAGGAGATGAGCATTGTATCCACTCAGTCGCCTCACCTTACCTATTCTGTCATCAATAACTTAATCTAACCACCAGGGCAATAATGTTTCAGTATCATAATGCTAGCTACTTCATTATACTGTACAGGCTGGTGAAGGAAGAATTTATTTGAAAATCGCTTTATTACAATAAAATACAACACGTAAAGTTTTATGTCTGAGCTCTGGTGATATTTTTTTATAGACCGAGGAAATAATTTAAACAAAGTACAAGTGACTGAACCCTCGGTGACAGGGAGGACTGTGTTGGTCGTGTGGCAGTGTTTGTGTACCTACAGTGTCTTTGTACATGCTCAATCAATGTGAATTCATATGTCACTTTTACTGAATGATTATCCATCAACCTATCAAGTTAAATTTCACGCTCTGTCAGAAGTAAACATCTTGATCCCATGTAGCTATTTATTTAATTTTTATTTGTATATAGTATTTATAGTGAGGATGAGATAGAGAGAAAAAGAGAGAGACATAGAGAAAGTGAGTCAAAAAGAGAGTGAGGGACATAGTGAGAGAGAGAGAGAGAGAGAATGAATGAATCAAAGAGAGAAAGTGAGACAGAGAGAGCGAGAGATGATGATCATACCAGCTGCTCGCCTCCTCCTACACATGTGCCCTCAGTGTTGGGATTTGTCGATCCTTTTTTTATTTTTTATTTTTCTTTTACACCTGACAAAAAGTTTAATTGAAAATAGATTGACATCTAATTTGTTGTCACTTAATCAGAAGAAGAATTTAAAATTAATTAAATTTTGTAACTTATTGATTAATTTTCTTTCATGTAACAATATATGAACTATTTTTTTTATAGAAATTATTAATATTTTTTTCAGGAAGTATTTTTTTTTCACATAACACAATACCGGAATAACTTGAAATAAACTTTAAAAAATCTATTTATTTTCAGGTTTGTTGATTTGTAATATTTGACACCATTTATGTATTACCCGATGGGAATTTATTTATTTCTTGTGTACAGACGAGCGCCCACACCCAGTGACCCATGGGATTGTTCCCCTAGATGCCCCAGGTCAGTGTTCTTATATGTTACTGCTCCTCCCTGGAACCTGTTACTTTTCCTCCCTAGAATATGTTACTTCATGCTAGGACACCTGTTACTGGTCCTTGGAACCTGTTACTTATCCTTCCTCAAACCTGTTACTTCTCCTCCCTCGAACCTGTTACTGGTCTCTGGAACCTGTTACTTCTCCTCCATGGAACCTGTTACTGGCCAGCTCATTGATCTCATTCCCATACAGTGAATCACTTATCCACTTACCAAACATAAGTGTAGAAAATGGCAGTGAAACAGCGATCAACACGATGATGAGTGCAGCACAGGTACACACACCCTGATGAGTACAGCACAGGTACACACACCCTGATGAGTACAGCACAGGTACACACACCCTGATGAGTACAGCACAGGTACACCCACCCTGATGAGTACAGCACACGTACACACACCCTGATGAGTACAGTACAGGTACACACACCCTGATGAGTACAGTACAGGTACACACACCCTGATGAGTACAGCACAGGTACACACACCCTGATGAGTACAGTACAGGTACACACACCCTGATGAGTACAGCACAGGTACACACACCCTGATGAGTACAGCACAGGTACACACACCCTGATGAGTACAGTACAGGTAAACACACCCCAAAAAGTATCTTTAAGAGGCAGGGGGGTCAAATGAATTTCAAAATAAACACTGTGACTCCTGTTATCTCGGTAGGGTTGTCAAAATCCGTCGTACGTTGTGTCATATTGTCTCACACAAAATAGTACAGATGTTTTTTGGAGTGTGTATATAGTGTTTAGTGAATAAGGTTATAACTCCTGCAGGTACACGCTAATTGACTGGAACATGGACTATGACGTGAGAATGTATCCGGAGACACTGTGGGTGAGCACCATCATGATCTCCGACAACCGGGTCCTCGCTGAGCTGGAGGGATACATGCGCATCCAAGACTACTTCTACGGCCTCAACGACCAAGGTAATCAGGTTAGGTTAGGGGTAGGAGGAGAGAGGTCAGGGAGGCAGATCTGTGGGTAGCAGATAAATAAATTGGCCTTACTTGTGTATATAATTTACATCTTTCTTTCATTTTCTTTCCTCTCTCTCTCTCTCCTGCACAAGGTTCCTGCATTTTGATAGAATTTCAGTACTCGTGACTTAGATATCTGATTTACACAACAATGTCTGATGCACGAGTTTTCTTGGTGTGTGGAGTGAAGAGGATTCTCCCGTACCTTGTGAGAGAAGTGTAGGTGGAGTATAGAGTTAGACACTACTGCACTGGAACATACAGCACAGTATACTGTATATGAGTAGATCTTTGAGTGGAAATTGAGGAAATGCTGATTACTGTATAAGGCAGAGTTAAACCAGTTATACGTAGTACTGTATATGTAATACTGTCTTGGTTGGAAACTGCAGGTAGAATATATTAATAATATTTTTAATTGAATCTAATTTTTAATTTTGATTTATAATTACTCCCTCTTATTAGCTTACTAGCCATTCAGACAATTAATCGTTTCTTTGTTAATTTGTTACAACTTTCGTTGTCCAGTGTTAGTGCAGGAGAAAATTGGAGTACCTGGAGAAAACCTGTGATGTTTGGTAGGGTCGCGCTGGATAACACCCTTCTCACATTCATCTGGGCCAGGGATCGAACCCAGGATAATTGGGGAGAGGAAAGTGCACTACCAGTGTTCCATCAACAGCACTTGATCTTTGTGCATTAGGCTTGATGTCCATGGTATGGATTAGTAAGATTTATTGAATACTTTTAATGAAGTGAAACTTTTCTATCAGGAAGGTTAGATAAGTCATGCTGAAACCTAAGATGTGTTGTGATATGTGTAGTAAATTTATATGTTTTGAGGTGACAATATACTGCAGTATAGTACCATCACCCAAGCCTCTCTGAACACTGCTCCTCTCATAGGGATGGTGCTCAACCTGACCGTGCCCTTCGTGACGCAGATCAAATATGGGAAGCATCCCGGAGTCTTGGCGGAGACCAATGACTACACGGTGTCCCTCTATGTCCAGCCCACCTACTATGAGAACATGGAGATCCCCACCCCCATCAGTAATGAGGTAGGTTTGTGTGTCCCAATATTTATGGTCCCACTCCTGTTATTGACTACACTGCTTAACATTACTTTATCCTCGATGTCACTGACTAGCCTGTGAGTCACTTGGTTGGTCACGTCTCTGTTAATAGATGCACACTGCTGGCAATTACAAGGCAGTTACTGGCTCCAGAATGTTTCTATATCTGTACCAGTGTTGGTCAAGTCTAGTCTTGAATGAGTTCACACTTGGTGCCTTGACAACATTCTCTGGCAGGTTACAGGGTGTTCCAAAAACTCACAACTCGCATTCGGATTATCTGTAATAAATGGAGTTTGAAATTGTAAAATACTGGATAGGATTTATGTAGTAGTATGGTTAGCAGTTATCTTTTCTCTGGTGATGTCCTGGCTGTTAGACAACATGTTTAGTAATATTAGCAGGAACTCTTATTTTCCCAATAGATTTTGAAAGAATTTGTTGTTACATTATATTTCTTGGCATGAAAGTATGTTACAAATATCAGTAAGTGTACAGTATGTGTATCTTAGATCAATAGTTTTTACCAGTTGTTCTTTAAGAGTTATGACAAATTTTAAGAAATTTACAATGAAAGATTATGTATTTGTAGTTCGAATTAAGTTTATGCACTACTATGCTGAGTTTTCCTATTGTCTGATTTATAGTTGATGGAAGTGAGATAAAAACAGTGTTGGTTTCTTAGTATACTGTACAGTAATGTGTGTAAGTTGGCTGTTGAGAGGAAGCAAATAAAGTATTTTTCTTTATTTTGTAGGAACCAAAGTTTGTTTTATGCCCAGGTCCTTGTTGATGAATTGGAGACCAAGACAGTGTTTGTGCACAGCTTTGAGGCTAATGTGTGGGATGTAACAGAAAGCTTCCTGGAGGAGAAGGTTCAAACCCTGATGGAGCAACTCAGACACAACGGTGAGGCCTTCCTCGACCGCTACTACTACCTCGCCTCCTACAGTAGGTGAGTGTGTAGCACCAGAGTACAGGAATGTTTGGTTATGTACTACAGGGTATTAACTCTCCTACAGTATACCGGTATGTGTGTCTGGGGGCACCATGAAGGAGTGTTTGTGACTGTATTCTGTTCTCCCTGCAGAAGGATGTGGGTCAGGGCCAGTGGGGTGTACAGTTCTGCTTAGTGTACTGATTATCTTCTAATATAATAAAGTAACATATATTACCTGCAGTTTACATTATGTTTGAAATATTCTGTTGGTCAGTTTCACTTAGAGGTACCACATAAGTTTAAAGGTTTCTCTACATTGCTTAATATTCTGAATTAGTCATACAGTAAATCATCCTCTGTGGGTTACAAAGAGTTTTTAATTGAACCTCTGATGAAATTTCAGTGTTGGTCATCTGCCACACACACAGTAGACTAATAACAGATTATATGATGCAGTAAATTCCCCATACCAGTCTAGTGTCCACTCACTCACTCACTCACTCACTCACCCACCAGGCCAGAGCTGTACCAGACGGTGTATTATGAGATATGGATTTATGCCACCAACTTCCGTGACCCCCAAACCACCAGTAAGTCCACCAGCTACAACAGGCGGCCACAGACCAACAAGATCACGCAGAAGACTCTCAATAAGCTCTGTCGAGGTAGAGTAGTAATGAAGTTGATGCCAGTAGAACCTTAGAAAGTTATATGTATAAGTTAGATACATCAGGAAATATAAAGTTACCCCACTTTAGGCTGTTTCTTGTTCAGATAGGTAGATTATTAGTTGTAGATAACTTCTCTAGTTAAAGCTTCATCGTGTTGCGGAGTTCATTTTTAATTACTGTATCTCCTACAGCTCGATGATTTGTACTGATATACTGTACACTAGAACCATTACTTATTTTCTATGTTTTCATATGTGGATTATAATACAAATTGTTATACAAATGACTTTTTGAATTTACATTATGGGGAGACTCCAGGAAATATGGATGTTTGACTTTAAACTTATTTATAAATAAATAATTTACATTACTATAACAGAGACTGATGTTAGAGCGCTTCTGTTATGAAATATGTCCATTATGTACTGTAGTGTAGTGCTCCATAGGATGTATCACAGTGGTGTGGATTGATTTGGACCTCAATACTGTACAACTTTCATTCTACAATAGGTGTGGAGTGTCCCAAATTTGAGGTGCTGAGAACGTACAAATATGGCATCCAGAAGAGACGTTACTACCATGGACTATTTGCCTCCACGTCCTCCACAGAGTGTCAGTTTACCACCATGAGTGTGTGGAAGGGTTTCATGCCACTTCATTTATATAAGCACGGTGTGTATGGCAGAGTGTCATTCTTTTTCATATTATTATTATTACTACTAACAATTTTTATTACTGAATTAGTATTTATGCTATTAGAATTATCATTGTGTACAGTATTATTTCACTGGTGCATTGAGAATTTCATATTAGTTGAGGCAATTTCTCTTTAATTGGACAGGGTCCAGAAGACAGAGCCCCAGGAAGCTGTGTTATTTTCATTATTTTCTTGATAAACAAAAGATTGTTTTGTAATCATATTTTATAAATGAACAAGGAATGGACACCTTATTTTTACCAGAGAAGTCTAAAGGTAAAAGCCCAGGTTAGGAAAGATAAATTATTATTCAAATTTCTTTTTTTAATTTTTGTCCCAGTCATTAGTTGAGGCTCTGCGACCCTGAATTTTCACCTTCAAACTTTTGTGGCTATGCTGTACATGAGTTGTCTGTTGCATCAGATTACTAAAGAAGATATAGGTACTATACCAAATTTAAAAGAGTATGTTTCTCATATATAATATTAAACCATTAACCTTCACCTTGGTTATGTATGCAGGTGTCAACTCACACATGGAGGTGATTGAGGCCACTCGACCCATAGCTCTGGTGCACATTCTGGATTCCACAGACCCTAATACGGAGTGTCCTCAGAACCTCACCATGTCCCTCTACCTCCCACACCGACTCCACTCCAACCCACCGATTACCGGATATGCTGCAGTCAGTTATCTTACGCAGCTTGGTTCAGAACATTTATATTACTCTTATTTCGCACTTGAAAAGCAATTCAGTAAATCTTTTCTCTAATAACCAAATTTCTCCTGTAAAGTCCAATGATTCAGACTGTTTGTTTGCGTGTCATGTTGTCACCTTATCTTTCACTAGTCATTATAAAGTGGTTCAGATTTACAATGTGATATTAATTATTTGTACTGTTTCCAGCCTAACGTACACATCACAGCTCTGGATGATGTGATCGTGTACGCCTACACTGTCGGAGGGTACCTGCTGGACCCGGGAAGAGTACGCAAGGAGCTCTCTGACATGAAGTACAGGCTTTCAGAATTTGGAGCTTGTTACAAGGACGACGAGCATTACGTTGTCATATATGATTTTATTGTTCGGTAAGTGATGAGAAATAAGACTTTCAGATACAGTAGTTTCCAAATATGGTTTAAGGACCTGGAAAGCTTATGTAGATGATATAGAAATTGTATCAATAGATTTTTTGCATTAATTTTGTCAGTTTAAGATATTTTATGGTAATGTTATGATTTAATGTAATCTTGTCCCCTAAGGTACCATGGACGCCAGAATGAAATTTGGGTAGTGGCAGAAAATTGCAAAGCAACACACAACGGTTAGACACTATTTATTTACTGTAAATCAAATCTTAGAATTATTAGAAATGTTTGATAATAAAATATAATGACAATTTAAGAATACAGTACAAGTTATCTAGGGTTTTATTATGGACCGATGTAACAGGTCACATTATGCCTCTTCACTCGTTTTTATCCAAGGTGTAAAATTACCTAGACCAAGGTTGACTCGAGCCTATAACTCTCACCAATATGTTAAGAGTTTGAGTCGTGCTTGGCTCGGACACATGTGAGAAGGGTGTTATCCAGTGTGACCTTATCAAATATCACAGGTTTCCCAGACTCCTGTTTCCTCCTGTACTAATGCTGGATAGACCAACCGTCCAAATGGCTATGATGAAGCTGATAACTGGTGATAATAATAATAATACTGTGACAAAAAACCTAACTTCCTGGATGAGCTTGGCTGGGTGTTAACTGGTCTGGGCCAGAGTGCACCCTGGTAAAAATAGGCCAAGATATTAACTGGCTTGTGTCACTGGAAGAAAACCTTTATTTATTTGATGATAAAGAAATTAACTCAATTTTAGATAATATGTATATACAGTATACTATGTTTCATGTTGATCCACAATGAAAACGTGGATAAGATAAATCGTGATAAAATCACACGGGAAAAGGGAAACAACGGAGCAAGTTGCCTCTGAAGATGTCTTGAATAAAGACGAAAGCTAAGGTGCTCCGTTGTTTCCCTTTTCCCGTGTGATTTTATCAAGTGTACTATGTACGTACTGGAACTATTGGTGACTTTTATTGTGTTTTGGTAACTACAGTCAGTTCTGCTATAACGCGATAGTTGTGTTTTTGTAAAATATCGTGTTATAGAAAATCTCGTAATAGAAATAACAGGGCTTTATGGAGAAAATGGGGTTAGGTGCAGATTACTACTTGAAATCGAAAAAAATTAGTAGTTAGCCTAACACAAAGGATAGCACAGTCTAAATAAATGTTACATTCATATCTAATAATGAAATCATACAGTAAATGTAACACTTTACCTTGAAAAAATATGAATATAACTTGATGGGGGAGAAGGGTGATTTTGAGGTTGATAACATCAAGCTTCTCTTCAAGTGTTATATCCTTTTTTTTACGATCATCACCGGGAATTCGATCACCAGAACGCTTCTTGGAGATATTCTTCTTTACCATATTCACAGTTAATACCACAAAATTGGAGAAATAGTAAGCAAAAATCGCGTTACAGCAAACAAGCGTTCGCGTTATACAAATATCGTTCCTCTATTCATAAATCGCGTTAGAGCAAATTCGCGTTATCAAAACACGCGTTATAGCAGAACTCACTGTACAGTACTTAAGTGTAACTACAGTACAATGAATGTTTAATATTGAATGTGTATATGTACATTGACTGATCAAGTTCTCTATAATGAACCGTACATTTTTTAAGCATACAGAGAATTTGATCTCGGTTGGTGTTTGTAAAGTAATGACAGTATGGAAAATGTCTGTAAAACAATGATGATCATGAGGATTTGTTCATCACTGTCACATAAAATGGCTAAATATTATTGTAAATAAAATCAACAAGGAGGGAATTATGAAATACTATACTATATACCAATATTTGTTGATATTCTCTGATAACAAGATACATTAAAAATATTGAAATTGATTATATATTTTCATCTAATTTTGGTATGTAAAATGTATCTTGAGGTCAGTCCCAAAACTCTGTGCTCACACTTTCATACTGTGGAGCCATACTTGGTACTGTACGAGCAGGAAGTGAATTGTCAGGTAGTGTATTGGATTTTGTGTCTGAAAAGTCCCTTGATGTAAAGCTACAGCATTTTTATGAATACTTCATCACTGTATAACACATCTGCTGTAAATTTTATACTATTTGTCATTTATATGAGGTAGAGTCACTTGGGAGTTGTTGGCTGTTGTATGTAATAATGGTTATAGGATATTTCATCACAGGATAATTCGTCAATGGTTCAGTATAAACCTAACCCAGCCTAACCTAACCTAACTTAACCTAATCTTGGTTTCATTGCCTCCAAAAAAAGTTATTATAAAAATTTAATATATATAACAAGGTAGACTGATGATGAATTGTTTGTTGACGAAATGTACGCCCACCGTTAATAACTAATCTTGCAGCTCTTCGGGAACTGTGTAAGGACAGGATGTCATGGATGATGCTAAAAGCATAGAAATGCAATGAATGAAATAAAGGACAGGAATATCATGAACAGGTCTGTCTGGGCTGCAGTAATAATTGTGACTGAGAGATGATTTATTTTTTTAACTCTGGGATTGATATATAATAGGTGAGGCGAATGAGTGTGTGTTTTCTGAGGAAGCATACAGCTGATTAATTGATGTTCTAGATCTTCAAGTCTGGCTGTCATAGTATAGTGCACCAATGAGTTAAAGAAAATGTGTTCCTCTACTTTGTTGTGTGATGAGAGGTGGGTGAATGCCTTTACACTTAAATACTACTGTAATATAAAGGCAGATGAAAAGGTGTAGAAAGGCAGGAAATTCTAAAAAGAAGATTTGAGAGGTATGAATGAGATGGATCATGATATAGCTGTACAGTACTTAAGTGAGCTTGTATAAACCAAAGGATTAACATGATAAAGACTGAACTACTGTGACTGGGAGTGATAATAGTTTGGGTATAGATAAGTACACAAGACATGGCTGCCTCAGATAATGGGTGTAGTATGACCAGTGAAGATTGATAATGATAAATAATTTACTAAATATGAAAAACTTGTTAGAAACCTTATGGGAAACTGTTATCAATTATATGTTGAGTTTCATCCTGTTTAATGTTGGTTACTGTACTGTACTGTACTCTGTTCCTCAGTGTTTGTTGCTCTCCCAGTTTTGTTTTTATATCGAATGGTTATGTATTAATTTCATAACAGGTGAGAAAACCCTTTGCAATTAGTATAGGTTGTGTGGAATTGCACCATTTTTTAGTTTATTGAGATTTCATTTGAAAAGAAATGTAGGAATTGTTTTTATTTTTGTAGTACAGTACTGTCATAGTAAAAGAGGTAGAAATGGTAACATTAGTCCTTATAGTAGTTTAAGGAGGAGTGAGGAACAATGTCACAAAAATTTATCTGTGAATTCTTCTGAAATAATTATCATGAGTACATAAAGTAAGCACATGGAGGGTGTGATGACATGAATCAGATTGTGAAATTTTTGTCTCATTATGGAGGAGGAACAGTAGATAAAGAAAATATTCTTAGTAATTTTTCTTGAAGCTGGTAGAGAACTTTTTCTAATATCTTCAGGGATGACGGCTGCTGTTACTTAAAGAATTCTTATGGTGGGAAAATATGATCCTGTACTTGATGTGACCTGAACAGTGCCATACTACAGTAAACTAATAAATGGTGAAATAATAAGAAAAAATACCCAAACTTGTTGACTGTGTTTGTTAAAAATGAGATCTTAGCCATATAACCCTTGGCTTTTCTCTGAGAAGTACAGTACTACCTCCAGAATGTTACCTAGTACAGTGCCTCCTGATATAAAATGTGTTTTAAAGCCCTGCAAGAGAGTGAGGTTAATGTTACAATAATGTGTTAGGTGTGTTGGATGTTTGAATAATGTGTAGAAATGTGCTATGAAGTTTGTGTGCATGAACTTCTGCTTTAAGAGTCCCCTTTTACCATATTGCGAGGCATACATTTGAAATGAAAGTGGATAGTTTGATATCATTCAGTTTTTATTTCAGAGGATTTATTGTACTGACCTTCACAAAACAGTACTTATTACCAGCCATCTCTCATGAAACAGGCTCACTTAACAGATGTTTACAAATACAGAAAATGACTGTTGGAGAATTAATGCATAAAGAAATACTTGTATGAAGGTACATACAGGTAATTCAGTGCATATTACTTGTCTTAGACATTGTGTATAAAAACATAAGTCCAAAATACATTTGCTAAAATTGTTTTGTCAAAGGGCAAAGTATATACAGTATTTATACAAAGTAGTAAAATACAGAAAGACCTTTTATGTAAATGGCCTGTTGATCCTGTACACTGCCAGAATGATCATGTAAATAGTTTAGTTATATCTCATGTGTGTAAGAATGGTGAAGGTAATTTGAAATGATAAGTTTCATCAATAATGATCTTGATATGATATTTTACTCCTGTGCTAGACAACAGCATGGTAGGTACAGTACAAAAATTAGACACTCATTAAAGGTGCTGAATGCCCCTCATCAAAATTCCTTATATAAAATAGGGTCCATAAGTTGTTGAATAAAGATGGAAAATGATGATAATCAAACTTGCCCTTGATTTATAGCCATTTCTTTTCAGTCTGCAATGCCTTTTTAGAATTACTGAGCAAATCAATACAGTATGGGATTTGATATAGACAGTAATTTAGGTGGGTCATGGTAATGCTCTTTATCCTATGGTGTGGGTTAGGATATCTAGGCTGAGTTTGACACTGCATTCTCTGTCCATATTTTGCCACAGCTACATATCCTGTTAGAAATTTCAGTGGGGGTCAGACATCACCTTGAAATACTTGTCTTGTTTTCTCCCAACAGTCGTAGAAGAAGCTGATATTCATTGTTACGCTTCTGTGTTTAATCTCTGTATGTAAACCAGTGATTATGTACACAAACGTATAAATAGAGATACCCAGTGTTTATATTACGGCATTCAACACATCTTTCCATTCTCTATGATGTGTAAGTTTTTGTAAAGTAATGTACATACTTTCCTGTGGCTGTAGGTCAAGTGGGCTACAGTATGAGCAATCTCTTACTTAACTTCACCCATCCATTAAGTTTGTGGACTATTAGGACTGTGGACCAATAGATCTGGACCATTAGGATTGTGGACCATTAGAACAGGACTGCAGCCTGTTTGACCAGCCACCTATCCAGTCTTGTAAAACTTCAATATTTACTGTCATAAGAAGCATTATCTTCTTAGAAATGATTTAACTGAAACTTAATGTCAACATCACATGATAAGTTGCTGGGGGAACATTCATGATGTACATGGGTAGTGTACAGCAAACTAATGTAAATAAAGATCTAAAAAGTATACAGTACTTCTAAATTTGTAACCTGAATAGTATTATATGTATTCTAAGATGTGCCATTGGTTATTATGGATATATGGTAACACCCGGCAGCCATTTTTGAGGACAGAAGGAGGCATTGTGGACAGCTGCACTTAATTGGTTTTATTTCCCCAAATGTAAAGTTTGGTAACTTAAGTGGGTGGACCGGGGTGTGCCAAGAGTGAACCCATAGAACAGGAGGCAAGTGCTGTATCCACTTGACTGCTGTACCCCAATATTACAGTAAAATGTGATCTAATTTGACTAATTTCTTATGAGTAAATGAATAGTAATTGTAATATATGTACATAGTGTTAATTGTGAAAATATTTATATTGTACCTGTATCTGTATGTATTTATTTTAGGCATTCAATATTTTTATCTCAAATTACAGTACTGTACACCATTTAGTACTGCACTACTTCATGTCACTGGTAGTGTCCACAGTCATCTTACGTATCAAATATGGATTTAATAAGGGAATAAAACATTAATGATTATATAATACATATTACTTAAATTTAAAAGCTCTGTACAGTTATATATTTGCTGAAGGATCCTGAAGTACATGTTGAACAAGTAACAGGATGACAGCTGATATGTTGAGGATTTCTTGGCTTAGTATTGTACTGTTACTGTAGTACTAAACTGTGCTGAGTAATATTTATAGTTACATATGTACAAACTTACATATATTTACAAATAAAATATGTACACACACACACACACTAAAACCTCTGTTGTTCAGTGATTGGTACTTCACAAAACACAGTAGCTTAGTTCATGTTGATTTCACTTTTGATACACAAGGAGGCTGTAGCCACCATCATTCCTTAAATGTAAAGTTAGGTTCCTTTTCATGGCAAACCAGAGACACTTAAGACAGATAGGAGACGAGCACAGGACCCACTTGGCCACCACACATACATATACTGTGACTGTTATCTATACTGTCTTATCCACAGTGACTCTTGCTTGAGCCATGTCACAAGTTGGCAGTGACAAGTGTTTAGTCTTCATTATACTGTAGTGTGAAATTCTCTTCTTCCAGGGAGGGAAATGGCAAAAGTCAGATGAGATTTTTAGTGATAATTTTCTGAGGACAAATGTTTCAAGCTGAGGATTAAATATACAAGAGTACATCTCACTAACTATCAACAGTTAGATGAGGTGACACAAGTGTATTTTGTACTGAGCGCTGAATAGTATTGTGAGTTAACTTGGTCTTCTTTACTATAATAACCTCAAGTCTTTACTATAATAACCTCAAGGTATTAATTACTATATTTGAGCATATTCAGGTTTTCTATTACTCTTCGCTAATAACCTTAATTCTAATGTTTTTATACCGTATATAGTACAGTAGTTGAGTTCAATACGATATAATACTTTGTACTTAAACTATATGTGCTTTCTCATTTCGATCTGATGCCCGGTGTATGATAAGCCATCAGTACACAGAGTGATAGAGTGTCCAGTACAGTACTGCACTCAACTGCTTTCACTTCCCCAACCGTAAAATTCAGTTCAGCTGGATGGACTAAGGGTGCCCAGTGTACAAACCACAGCAACCATTAGGGACAAAGAGGTGAATGAATGTTGTATCCACTCAATTGTTAATAAGGTATTAGCAAATTTAGACCATCATTCTCCTACTTTGGTATTGTACTTAAAATGTCAATGCTTGTCATCACCTCAGGTCAAACACAGATACTGTAATACTTGCTGTTTTATTGTTTGTGTCTCATGATAGTTGAACTTCTTTTGTGTTCCTTGTCCTGTACTATGTGACTCATGAATATAAGCACCATAGGCACCTCCTAACTTCATGCTGTCAACATGAAGCAGCTGCAGAAAAAGTTGCAGATTGTTTAACGGTTAAAACTGGCACGGGAGTGAAGGAAACTGGAGATGGTGCGAGCAGACTGAACACTTCCTCTGGGTCCCTGGTTGTTGGGGGATCTGCGAGGGTTAATAGATATTTCTCTTCCTTGGTTAAAAGTTACACTGTTTGAATTATTTTTGTATTGCATCGAATTGTTAATATTTTGAGAATTTATTTGCTCAGAAGAAGTTATTTTCTTCTCTATGACAGAAAGAAATTCTTTCCAGAGCCTCCTGGCACTTCGTTCTCGAAACACATGAAACAGGAATAAGAAGAAACCTTGGAGAGTGTTGAAAATGCAGAAAAGGTACGAGAATAGGAGGCGTCCTTTCCAAATGGCCAAGATACCAAAGATCCAGGTAAAACCAAGGAGGAAGAAAACACATATGGCCATTTTCAACTGGCTCATTACGAGTTCCTTGTCAGACATGGTTGAGGTAACACGAACACGACCACAGGTAGCACCGTAGATGATGAGGCAGAACATGATCAAGTTGACTGTCATTGTCAGCACCAGTGGTGGTAGGAAAGCATACATAAAACCTTCACTGGACATCCAGCATATTTTAGCATCAGAATTACTATGTCCACTGTCATACAATGTACTGTCATAAACAAGAACAACAATAATTGGTAGCACAGGTGCCCCCCAAGCACTTACAGATGCCTTCCACATGAATCTGGGAATATAAGTGCCTACCACCTTGACAAACTTCAAGTACTGGTGCACAGCCTCAACCAACATCCAGCCAAAGGAGGCCAGGATGAAGTAGTGAAGGGCTACAGCAACACTCCTGCACAAGATTACATTCCAGGTCTGATTAATTCCTGCCAAGAAGATCACTATACTACAGAAAACAGATAAGGACAGATTAACCAGAATTTTGTTGCTTAAGGACCGTCTCCACTTCTTGAACAACAAGAATGTAGTAAACACCAACAACAGGCTGACTATTGACAAACAACACCCAATTATTGTTATGATGTCAAGAGCTAAGGCATGGACACCTTCAAGTTCATCATCGTTGTAGTTTATAAGTTGAGCAAAACAAGTTAAGTGATTGCAGAAACAAACTTGGAGGTCACCTTCAGGTTCACCCTCCCAGCAACCCGTATTTGACCAACCACCTCTTCCTGAATTCTTTGTGAAATCCCAATACACACACTTGGAATCATTTCCTTGTTTGTTAGGTCTGAAGAATATTTTTATTGGTTCTTTGAGATCTTTGACAACCTGACCATTATATGTAGCTTGGATGATATGACTATTGACTGAGTGATTGGGAAAGGATATATGATCTTGAAATAGCTTTGAAGTTCTGTAAACAGCAAAAGTTAATTGTAACTTCTTTCTAGCAGTCTGCATTTTGGCGAGTTTGCCAGAGTTGGTAGCCACAATATGAGTGAGGTTTCTAGGAAAGATAATAGCAGCATCGCTGCCGTTGAAGTCAACTTTAGAGTCCTGTTTCACTGTTTCTTCCTTCTGTCCTTCTACCATGGACATGTAACCAATGATAGGAGAATTTATTTCTAAATCCAGGCATTCAACTGATATGTGTTTTCTGATTGCTTTTAAGTTCTCATCACCTTCACTAAGTTTGACCTTAAATGTGATGTTCTCAAATGCTTCAAAGAGAATACTTGAAGAATTTAATCTATTTTGAACTGACTCAAATACCTTATCATCAGCTTCCATGACATTATTAAGGGTGTCAACAATCTTTTCTAGGTCATTTTTGGTCACTATTTCTTTGTTTGTTAGGTTCTGAAACTTGGTAGCAATGAGGTGTATGTCAACTGGTTTAAGTAAACTTCCATTGGCAGTGAGGATGGAGAGTGTTGTTATGGCATCAGGTGATGAAGATGAGTTGTTCCTGTTCATCTCCCACAGCTGCTTGGTGATATTGGAAGGCTCCTCTGTGCAGTTTCCAGACGGCGTCTTCCATTGGTAGCCGACCAGGAAGTCTCCCACACACTCTCGGGTCACTGGTTCTCCTCCCTCAGTGACGCACAACTCCTCAGGCAGCACAACACCACTGGCTTCTTTCTTAGGCCAAGTGAGATTCCTGATGCTGATACCGTAGTCCACCGTGACCTCACTGACACAACCTACAGTGCTCTTTATGCTATAAATGGAGCAGTCAGAGAAATTTTCCTTTGTTGCAAATATTTTCTCAAACATTTCAAACATATTTCCCTCTGTCAACATTGCCTTGTTGTCTATAAATTCAAATTCCACGAGGAAATTATGACTTAATTCTTTCTTTGATACATCAACTGAGTAAAAGAAATTGTCTGCATTTATTAGCACATTTGAAAGTTTTAGTTTTTCTAACTCAACTTTAAGTTTCCTTATAAAGGAATGTACACAGGGCATGGAATTCACTCTTTGTGGGACTAAAGTATTAAATGTAGCATCATGGAGCCTGGGTATGTAGGCTGTTTCTTGGGACAGACTCACAGCAAATGTTAAGGTTTGTGGCTTTCTATTGATTAGAATATTGAAGTGAACCAACTGGAAAGGTTTCATCATCCAAGCTTGGCAGTAAAAGGAACCTTGACTAACTTGCTCAATTTTATATAAACAATCTAAACTATTGCCACTTTTAAGGTCCCTTAATCTACCATTCATAAAACACTTAAGGTCATCAGTGTCAGTATTCAGCCTTCCTTCATGGCTAATATCTACACACACAGTTTTTGATGCAGTATATTCACTGCTGTGGACCTGAATGGGAACTGGTAACACTACTGGAGGAACTTTCTGGCATAATATGTTTGTTTTGGTGGTGCCTCCTTCTTCCCTGGACCAGCCATCAACAGTGAGTGATGTGAACTGAAGTGAATAATCAGTGTCTGCCTTCCAGTTGATCATATCTACTCCTGAATTTTCTTCACCTAAGTTAGTCTGATGTAGTGGCTCTATACTCATCCATACATCATCCACACCTTGGTCATATAAATACTGTCTGTACACCCAGTCTAAGAAGCCTACACCTGGTGTAGGTAACTGTGCATTGTTCCTCTCACAAAACTCTTTAGCTTTCCCCCAACTGGAGTTTTCTACATTTAGGAACATTTTGTAACATATATCTTGGTGAATTTTAAGTCCAGTTGAATGCCAACCTGGATCGCAGGATGCGTTAACAATTAATTCTGGAACACTTTGTTTCCAGTTTGGATCTGGAATTTTCTTCAAACCGTGCATGCTCAACAGACCAATAAATGGGAGGGTATTCTCACAAGGTCGAGTTAACAGCTTATCTGTCTCTATATCAAGTGCCAGACAGTCTTTGTCAGGGTTGGGATGGTGTTGTGCCCATGATATGTTGAAGAGTTTTGACCCCTTATAGAGATAGTATGGGTAGTCTGAAGCTCCTGCACCGAGGAAGGTGAGAGGGCCCCAGGGCACAAGTCTTTTGACTGGCAGCCATACTTGATTGTATCCCATATTCTCTCCTAAAAACTGCTTCACTGTGTCATAAACAGAATAACCATCCATTTCTTTCTTATGAAAATCAATGGAATCAAGAATACTTCTCTCATAACCGTTTTTATAAATATCATTGAAGCCGATCTCCCAACTGTCTGGATTGGTGAACGAGAGACAAATGTGGTCTGCGATGCTAATGTAGTTGTGGGGACAATAGTCAAACCTCTTACACCTGCTGGGATCAAAATCTATTGTAGCTCCATGAGTATAATTCCACCGACAATGACCTGGTTGTAACCTGTTGCCATAAATTTCACACCTGTAATTAAGAGGGTTCGCCTTCCCTACTCTTGTAAGTGGCCACTTGATGTGATTACCATTGTTGTACTTTACTGTGTGATTCAAGCAGTATGTTGAGAGAGCAGCTGAGGATGAATTTAGGTAGCCATGAGCTTCATAAAGCTTTTCATATTCTTGATTATAAATTTGGAAAAGCTCTAGGACCCTACTGGAAGAGTCAATAATGCCAGGAATATGCACCTGGAAGCGGTATTTAGCGAGAACATTGGCTGTTCCTAATTCCTTTTTGAACACAGAAATGGGGTCTATTGTATATTTATAATTGTTAAAGGGTGCAGCGAAGGTGTGACGTATGTCACTGATGCTATTTTGGAGAGTGACCCCAGGAGCCTCATAGCGATGAGCAGTGAGGATGAGCACTAACCAGTTGTCCAATGTTACCAGAACCTTGTTACTCACTAGGCGGTCGACTGACCTGGTGACCCATGCTTCACACCAGAAGGTGCCCTGCTTCAGGAGAATATGAGTGTGTTCCTCCGTCCAGGATGACTTGGTAGAGTCATGAATGATTGCTGGAACTTGTACCTTGGTGTGAGAGTTGATATAGACTCCATCCTGAAAATATTAAGTAGATGTGAGCAATTTACTACAGCACAATATTTTTCTTAGAGTTGGAACTGATATACCATCTTGAGATAAAATAAAGTGAACAATTTAAGTGCAAGTATTATTTTACTAATGTTTAGTTACAAACAATCAGACAGACAAAGAATAAGACAATATTAAAGATGTGCAGTCCAGTACCTTACTCCAGAATATGGGTGGCTGGTGAGTGAGAGGAAGGCCTGTGGTGGTGTGATGGGCAGTACAGGTGAGGGAGAGTTGGGAAAACTCTTCCTCTCTCACTCTCACCCAGTCATCCTTCACCTCCATGTTGACTGTGACACGTAGCTCAATGCTGTCCAATTCCACTTCTGAAAGATTATACTGTTTACGGTAACCCCCTGAACAAGGTTGTCCGCTGTTAGTCAAATAAAATATTAAAAGTGGCATCCCATTGTGAAGGGAATAAAGAGAAGGAAGGAGGAACTTTAAATAAAAGAAAGATGTTTAGAGGATTTTTCTATTCAAGATTATTCATAATAAATAATAGAATAACTGAAGTGTCCACAGAACAACCTGAGGTGAGACTTGATATGTAACCCGTCAAGGTCCAGATTTCCATGAATTTCATTAAATTCTCAAGTGCCTGCGGAGTCCACTTTAAAAGTGAAAAATTTGTCTCATTTACTTTTTAGATTACGTTAGTATCCCCTGTAATTATGAATGATGCAAGCAAAAGGGTTATGTCCTTTATTAAATTTGTTTTTGAATAATCACCAGCAACTGTCTTAATAATGATTCAAAGAACAGTGGTGCCCAACCGGGCACAGGTAAAATGACCCACAACGGGGCCTAGGGGGCGAAAAAATAAGAATAGAAAGAAAATAAAAATAGAATAGGAAAAGGTTATATTAATATACACCACGAAGGTGCCGGAAAGAGATAGGGTGTACAGTATGTGGTAAAGATACACAAATCTTTTGAAAGCTGTGTTGGTGTTGGTGGTACAGAAGAAACACTTAATTTTCACCACTGGTTGTGCGTTCATAACCTTGGATTTGTTGTGAAAAAGGTGTTATCCATAGTGACTCTACCGGACATTGAATGTATTCTCTTGGTACTCAGCTTTCTTCCTGTATTAACATTGGACAACGAAGGTCATAACAAAGTAACAAGGAACAGACAAGCTGCCGAAACAACCGATAAATGGTAAATGTGATAAAATTTACAGACCTTATGAGCTGAGCAAGTAGCTGAGCTATCACCTTGCAGCTGAGATGACCTGTTGGCCAAACATCAAGTGTCTCTCAGAAGACCCTGACAAAGAAGGCAGCTGAAGTGGAGAAAAGTGTCCATTGGTAGAAGAAAGGATGATTGAGACATGAAATTATATATTAGAGTTCAGAATACAGTACCATGCAGGACACCCACCCAATGGAGTAGGATACATGAGGCAGTAGAATCGGAGAAGGTCATCACAGGAATGAAGACGGAAGCTCTGGCTGTGGAGATGAAAGGCAGCACAACTTCTGTTCCAGACATGGGGCTCCTCAGACCAGGCCACAAACTCCCCCACGGCTGCAGGACATGCTGTTAAGGTGTCAGTGTTCTTACTGGTCTCCACGTGTTGTAGGCTTGTTTTAAGGTGTTAAGTGTATGTGTTACTGTGTCCAGTCTTGAATTTTGGCTGAGAAATTGGTTCTTCCAAGAACTTGATAATAGATGTGATCTGATTATCTTAACCAGGAAATAAAAGGTGTTTGGTGATACTGATTGTATACTTACACATCCTTTGTACACTGTATACCTGCCCTGTCTATGTGTATTGCATACACGTACTGTCTCTGTATATTGTATATTTGCACTGTCTATATACATGCTAAATTAATGTAAATTTGTGTTACAATTTTACTGAACCTTTCTCCCTCTCTCTCTCTCAGACACACACACTTACCCGGGGACCGAGACATCCACTGATAGTGTCCTTCATGATGAGTGAGGGCCGTCCATGTCAGGTCATGAAGGGTGAGGTTCCTGACGGGGGAGGTCAAGACGTCCACAGCTTTGGTGAGTTTACTCTCAAGCCAGGTCAAATTTTTGGGAGGCCAAATGTTCCTTATCTGCCAAAGCTTGTCTCTTCCTACTAGAAACCCTCCTTTGCTTCGACAGAACGCGTGGGCAGACTGCCAACCCTGTCGAAGGAAAAGGATGTCACTACCGTCAAAATCACGTCCAATACATCACTAATGAACCTGCTAAAACTGATTAAAGTGCATTAACATGAAGACTAACTTGGTAAAATTCACTAAAGGCAGTTCAAGAACGAACCTTTTGGGAGTTATAGAATTGTAAACACCCTGAAGTAACCTGCCAGAGAGAGTTGTGACGACACAGAGTGAGAGGTCATTTGAGGGCAGACTATACTAACACCGGCACAGGCTATGGTATGTTTTAGAGCCTGTACAGTACTTGCCAGCCCAACAGGTCGTAACAGACATGACTGACTGGCTAATCAGTGGCGAAAAGGATACGATACTTTACTATGTAGAAAACTTTTTCATCATACGAGTTTATTTACAAAACAAATCTATAGCAGTTTATTCAGAAATATCATTCGTAGTACAGGTGTTAGGGAAGCAGTAATTCAAACAATGTGAGCCAGTACCGTACAGTTGATGCCTTGACCTAGTTGTGTCGGGAATCTGATAAGGTGACAACAGACAGGATGGAAAAGACTGACCTTATTAACAATGAGGTCAAAGTATCTTATATCATATATTGTGTTATTTGTATTTGTGGCGTGTATTTAGAGGCATTTCAGCTCTCCTTAATTCCTTAAGCGCATACCTGTTTTGTGAAAGAAATATGAGATAATTAATTGTCGCTATGTTTCGTCATGTCACTGCTTTTCATCTACCCATGGCGTTTTACCTCATTGGATAAAACTTAATTCGAATTTCCTCTTCCCGTCTCTCTATTCCCGTGAACAATTTATAATTAATTATCTTTGTCCCAAGTTTTTTTTTTGGCTTTTAATATTTCTGTCCATTTCAGCACCATCTCTGTCCTAATAGCAGTAAACTAGTGTTGGTAGTAGTGGTATTAGTCGTACCGTTAATAGTAGTAGTCGTGCCATTAATAGTAGTAATGTTTGTAGTGTTAAAACAATAGTGGTCATGAAAGCAGTAGTGGTGGTAGATATGGAGAGATACTTTAAAAAAAAATCCTCCTTATTCCATAATATTTATTTTACTTTTACTTTATACTTTTATCCTCTTCACTTGGGGCGATCTGTCGCGCCATAACACTCAGATTTAAAATAATCTTAACTTAATGCTAAAATCAGAGGCTATTATTTTACGACTGTCTCTATTATTTGGAGTGTTTAACAGATTATTCATAAGAAAAATATATAAATAACAATTATACACAAATTATGCATAGGGGTGAAATTAGAACAAAGAAAACGATTTGTTACCAGTGATATTGACTAATAATTTCAGTGGAAAGGTTATAACTGCGAAATAATGTCCTGAAGTAGGTAAATATATTTAATTTAATTTAATTCAATTTAATTTAAAGAATAGGCTGAGTGTGTACAGTACAATAATCTTCAGAAAAAAAAACCCACTTTGGTCTTGCAAAGTTGCAACCTTTGTTTGTTTGCATTCATCGGCTGATTCGAGTGACCGAAGGAGGAACATTACTGGGTGATCGTGAGTCAAATTTCTTCTTTATAAGCTGTTCCTGTTGCTTCCCAATTCATATACAACATTTCTGTGCTTATTTAAAATCAAACCACGTCCAAATAACTAGATCTTGCAAACTTTTGTAAAAACAACCTGCTATTTCAATTCTATGAAGCACACCACTAATGCTTGCTTTCTTCCTCTATTCTTCGGGAGAACTTTGACATATAGCATGATTATTATTTTAGGGGTTAAATCATTATAAAACGATATCAACTGGTAGGCCAGTGCCCCCGAGGGAAGCAGCAGCCAGCAGGTATAAACGCGAGGGCTAACTTTTGATAATCAGTATTAACTCAGAATATTGAAGGTTGACGACACATAAACCATGAAATTATAATCAGTATGTAGGTAGAGTGTTTGTATAAATCTTATACTATTTATTGTAGTTATTATTTTTGTTTTAGCTCAAATCAATCAATCAGGTCTCGGGGGAGAGAGTTTTATTGAATCGTGAAATACTTTAACAGTCTAAAGTCACAAAGTTAGGATAGTATTGTCAGTCAGAGCACAATAGCTTATAGTAATCTGTAAGACTTGAAGTTTTACGTGTTGAAGGAAGAGGGCGGTGGAAGGCGTGGAAGTTGGAACAGTTAAAATCTCGACATTCAAACCAAAAGTTCTGGGATAAATGGTTCTTATACTGTCCGTCTGTCAATGACGAATTTAGTTTTAACAAGATAACTTTAATGACTGGATTTATTGAAGTTTTGGTTTGAGAATATTTTAAGAGGTATTCTTGGTTGGTGGTCGCTGTTATTGTTATTTCGGTCGAAACGTCAATTCCAATGATTCTTGGTTTCTAGGTCATATCCCAAGAGCTTTATATGTTTAACTCTGAATGTTATACACCTTGGCGTATACAACATCACACGCTCGGGATTTGGAATTCCCCAAGTTACCGTGTGTCATGTTGCGCAACTGCCCGCTCACTGTACGGTCCCATAAGCTCGTAATTCTGAAAGTTGTTCGTGATGCAGAATGAACGTAACCTGGAGAGTTTCTGTAATCCTAACTCCACCGAGGCTAAAAGTTTTTGTTTGAACTTTATTTTTGTTTTCTTTGATGAGCTGAATGTAGTTATTGTAAAATTAAGGTGAAATCAACATTAAAATGACGAGAAGAAATATTTTGAACAAGTGAACATAAATCTCTCTGGCTGACAACAAAACCCAGTCGTGTGCAGTTACTACAATCTAATTTACATAGAAGTCAAATACATATTGAAAGACGGGAACTTACATTAAACTGTAGTGTGTTGTGATCCCCGACACCTTCAGTTGTTTGTGCTAATCAGGTGCAACTGAAGGAGGATGTCAGTGTCATCAATTTTTTTTATAGATCTCTGTCTTTTAACGTTGTGTTTGATTTCCATGGTGACATTCACGTTCATATGATTCATTCCGACTAAGCAACATGCATAAGGTGGCAGTGTAGGCCAGATGTAATACTCACAGTGAGAGAAGTGACACAGTAGCGCATACTCACCATGGGTTGAAGGCTGGGCAAGAAACACTCGTCTTCTATGCCAGTGGCGCAGCGAGGAATAGCGTGGAGCTCAGGTGCGTCTAAATTTGGGAAAAGGTCTTCGAATGACCGTGCACTGGTTGAGGTCACAGTTGGGGTCGTAGATGAAGTGGTCGGTGAGGCCGCCACCCACTGCAACACCAGTAGGCACACCGCCACCCAAGGGAGGCAGGGATGTGATAGCTTTGTGGTGGGTCTTCCTTGGTGGAGTGCGAGGCCCCCGGCTGCTGCCATGATGGCTGGCGGACCCACTCCAGGATGAACGCCTCTCAGATTATCTTCTTCAGGGTAAACACTGACGCTTCTTTTAATGGGAATAGATGCGAGTATTCCTTCATTAATAATACAACAACTTGGGCAGTCACAGATGCATACTAAGAAGTTTCATAATAAATATAAAGTACAAATAGGTTCAGGTAGAAATTATAGTTCCAGTATGACACTTAGACTTGATATTTCTTAATAATTTTTTTGAACCATTTATCTCTGAACCAACACACTTGACCTTACTCTAGAGGGCAGAGGTATCTCTCAGCTGAATAAAATCATTGGCGTTAGCTGAAATAAAATACCCAAGTTGGGCCGCTGCCTTCTAAAGGGCTAATAAGAGTGTGACGTTACTCCACACCGTGTTCACTATGGTCATCACCACCACACTATCACCCTCATTATCTCTCAACTTCCTGAGTTGACCACACTGGAAGGTACACCGACTGACACTATACCTTGTACCATCACTCAACCATTAACACACCCTGTACCATCAGATGGATATATGTATTTACAGTATCCTGGTATATGTATGGCGTGGAGACAACACAGTTGGGTACTGTAGGTAGTGGCAGGAAGTCTCACGTTATTACAGTGAATGGCAGGTTGGACTTCGATGTACTTTACCTTACCTACGTCCAGCAATTGAATCTCAGCAAGCCAGACTAACACTGATGTAGTTTATATCGATGTTATAATTAAAGAACTGATATATATATATATATATATATATATATATATATATATATATATATATAAATCCCTTACAGAACTTGGTGCTCTCAAATGTGAAAAAAAACAGCATTATGTTGGTCTCAGTAAATTGGGTTCACGATCACAAGACGTACAGTATGTCTCCAAATCTCACTGATGGTAGAGCTGATCGTAGTTGCACCTAAGAAGATCTATAAGTTTCTTTGGTCACTTTTTCTTGTCGCTACAGGTACTTCTATACACAGGATACCTCATACAATTTACTTCCCGTTGATGAGAGTAATAAATTTATTTATCACTGGAGATTCCTCTCTTTGGTAACTTGATGCAACGCGCTGTGTATTGTGGGTCAGGACTGGACGCTATCCCCAGTCTCGTGCTCACTGTTTGCTCCACAATATTTCACTTGCCTCCTCAGCCAATATTTCTTTTGTGAAGTGAAGCCGCACATTGTATCAATATGGAGGTGATGTGTCCCATGCTGGTGTGATCTAGGCAGGAGGCAAGTCACACATGTTATTAGGATATACTTTTAAACATCACTTTTTTCACGTGCCAGCGCGTTGCTTTTAACACCGATAAGTTAGTGCCCGCTGATTAGGCTTTCAGAGGTTCCTGCGTTGGAGTTTTCTTTTCTGTGGTGTGGGAAAAGGTATCTCAACTGGCTTATTAAACCCAGAACCAATACACAGCACGGTTTTAACTTGTCACTTACTGGAAAGTGCCCCGCCTGGGCAGCCAAGTGTGAAGAGAGTTACTGAATCACCGCAACCCTTGAGGATCTGACTAGGTAGTCTCTGTAGTATAGCAAGTGTATGACGGTCCTAATGTGTCTTGCACGTAAGGTTGACTGGTGTATGCTGCCATAACTGGGTGTTAGCCTGTAGAGGAGTGACAGGTTTGTGTGAGACAAGGCCGCGGCAGACAGGGACAGGATATCCTCTCCTCACCAAGAGGCCGCCTATTGACGACGGCCCTCGTCTCATCGCGTCACTAATTCTGCTGCCCTGCACCCGTCCCAAAGTGGATGATATCATGTTAGCCACAACTTATTGCATTCGAGGATGGAGTTAAATTCATGTTAAATTATCTCTATAACCAAGGTGACAGAAAGGCTGTAAAGGGTTTTAAAATTTCACATTTTGAGATTATTGCAGTGTAAAGACGGTTAGTTGACTCATAGAGCTTGTAGTAACTGGACGACTCTGCGTCACAACTCAAGGCAGCTTCATTACATTCCACGAAATAGTGACACACATATATTTTAATTTTTCTTTGTAAATGGGGAAATGTACTTTAATATTTGTGAAAAATTAGTAAAATATTGTGATAAGTAATTTGAATATTTGTGGAAAGTTACTTATATGTTTCTGGAAAGTTATTCTATACTCGAATGCAATCACTGCATAGATGTCACTCGCATCACTGATCAAAATCCACCAATCTCTAGACTAAACTCGATAGGATATTTATTTATTTTTTCTCAGCGGGAAGAGTTGCTGATGTTAGAGTATAGTTAAGTGTACCTGTGGATATTATTAGAGTTCTTAAGGTGTCAACAGGATTTACCAAACTTGGAAAACCCGAGAGATCTACCAAGGTGTGTGAGGCGGATCTAAGTAAGCTCAGTAGAGAAATAGATTTGTATTCAGTAAAATATTCGTATCAGCTCACGTTGATTCATCATGAGCATAGACAGTACAGGTATATACACACATTATACATAGACAGTACAGGTATATACACACATTATACATAGACAGTACAGGTATATACACACATTATACATAGACAATACAGGTATATACACACATTATACATAGACAGTACAGGTATATACACACATTATACATAGACAGTACAGGTATATACACACATTATACATAGACAGTACAGGTATATACACACATTATACATAGACAGTACAGGTATATACACACATTATACATAGACAATACAGGTATATACACACATTATACATAGACAGTACAGGTATACACACACATTATACGAAGATAATACAGGTATACAAACAATGGTAAACAGTGAGCCTCTTCGAGTAAGAAAACCCAACAAAGCCATCATAAGCTTATTCCCAGAATGGTAACAAAGACCTGGTAACAATGCGATACACACAAGTTAAAATGAGATTTGAGCAGCTTATACCATCACATCCTGAACATCTAAAGAGCGCGGGGAAGCCAATGTTTTTGTTCTTCAAGACGCTCATACTGTTAACAAAGATATAACAAATAACACAAAAAAGAACATTTAATTTGTAACATTTAAGTTAGTACAGTTAACGTATCAAGGATTTAGAGGGCATGAAATTACTCTTCATGAATGGTGAATGGTTGTTTTTTCGCGTGCTTGTGTGTGTGTGTGTGTGTGTGATATTTTCTCCCTTATACGTGTTCACTTTTACTATGTGAGTTATTAATTCTACAGAGAAAGTCGCACCATCGTTCGTGGTAGATTAGACCTTCCTTATAGTGAAGAATGTTCAAGATCCACTGGCAAGATCTGGAGGTAAGTGAATGTTTGTTAGTTAGAATGTTAGGAGTGACTACCTCATGCTTAAGTAGAATGTTTATTGTGATGTAGAGAGGATGTTAGTGAATGTTTATTATGGCGTTAGGGGAATGTTAGCAATATCTTCGTTATGGTTTTGGTAGAATGTTATTGAATGTTGGATTATTGTGACTTTTTTGTACATCTGTAGTGTCTATATACATTGTTTTTATACCTGCACTATCTAGGTACATTGTATACCTGCACTATCTAGGTA